TACTCTGCCAAGGTCTCAGATCTTTATTATCTGTGCAGAGGTATTTTCATCTCCAAACAGACAGATGTCTCCGGCTTCATTTCAGGCATATCCATGCAGCAAGAAGTGAAATAGCAAGTGGTTGCTCTGTCGTGTATTTACTTCAGAGCTGTGCTGATAGGGCTACGACCCACATTCACTCTCCCCATGCACTTTATGCCATGAGGAACCTTTTCAAAGACAGCATGAACCACATCCCTCAAGCCAAGTGCAGTATCTTACCCACCTTGAACTGTAGGACTGGAGCACAGGGAGGGAGCAGGGCCAGCCGCTGCACTCTCATATTCTCAGTATGATGCTCCTCTCACTGATTTCTCTCACAGCCACCTACAGAACATGTTTTATCTTGCACCTGAAGCAGCTCCCAGACCTGTCATAGGATAGAAACCTCTGCTGCTCTTCTATCTACCCTGACTTAAAAGCATTTACTAACAAATCTGGAACGTGTCTGGACACTTAAATGTTGATCTCTTTCCCGCCTTGTCCTCTTTGAATCCCAGTGCCCTTAGGGGTCTATACTGACTCTGTCCGCCCTGCACCGGGTTCAGGTGGTTAATGGCACTGCTCTATATTACTCATGTCCACCGTGACATGGACACAGACCTCTCAGCAACAGCAGCAAGGGGTTTTCTGCTTACCTGTGCCAAGCTCTAGCAGCCAGCAGCCTCATTAACAGCAACGTGTCTTTGGTTGTTCACATGAAAGCTCCCAGGACAGAATCTTCAAGAGATACTGTGTCTGGGATGCCTTGATTTGGGGTATCAATGTAGCCTCTTGGAAGGCGATGACACAGGAATGGTGGGACTTTCATTTCAGGAACAACAGCTAAAGGCTAAGCTGCAAAACAGATCAACACTGCTGTCTTCATAGCTGCTTTCAGGGCACTACAAAATACTTCTCGGCTTCCCTCAGTGCACACTAAGTTCTCAGACCTGCTGGTAGTAAGAACACAATGTTTACTTGCCTTCAGTTCAATGCATTCAAAATTTTACTAAAAGCTCAAGTTCCAACTTCACCAAAGGTCAGATTTTCAAAGTTTCTCTATTTCCCATCTCCACCACGCTCTTTCACATACACTGGGAAAAGGAGCAAATATTTCATCCTGTGTCACACAAGACTTGGTCAAAAGACAACCGAAAAGAGGACATTTCCACTGTCACAAGCAGATGATTGTAACATTTTTCTCTTTCTCTCTCTCTCTCTGAAAGAGGGTGAATAGCAGAGGGCCATTTTAAGCTGTAATAAGGCCTCATTATCACAAGAGATCTTGAAGGACAAGAGCTTAGCAGCATTTAGCAACGTTCAGGAAGTCAGAGAAAGAACAAGATTGGCTAGAGCTGGAGGAGGAAATGTTTATTGTAGAGAATCAGTCCCCTTTTCAAGAAAAGCATCATGTGCAATCATTTACTTAGAGGCACTTAGAGGCCAAAAGGGTTGGAGAATCAGCACAAAAGCATTATCATGCCAGCTTTGTACTGGTGTAAGCAGCTCTGCAGAGACCCATAGAAACCATCTCCTCAGAGTTTAAAAAAACTCCATGCTTCCAGTAAAAGAATGACCTTTAGCAGCAAGAAATCATGAGGAAACATTCCCTGGGGGAATGAACTGTGCCAGAATTTCCAATTCCGGGCAAACCTTGCAGCTCTCTGGGAAACTGCTTGTACTTGCTACTCTTAGGGGAGCCAGTGCATTTGCCCAATATTGTGCTAATCCCAAAGCACTATCACTTCCCGAGCAAATACTCATCTTTTCCCCAAAGTACATTGCCATGAAGCTTGAACGCAGTGTCTAACAAATGCTTTTGTCTCTCAGTTTCATCATTACAAATATCCCCACATTAAAAGAATTTATCTCTACTGGTATCATCACTCTGCAGAACTCCATATTCTTAAATTATGAGCACAACTGAGAGTTTAGCCCAGCTAGTTAATGACAAAATATCATGTTTCCCTTTTAATTAAGGGACATTAAAAGGTTTAAATCCTCTTCAATGGTAAAGAGTGAAGCAAATGTTACAGTGTAATTAAATTATTCCCTATAAATTGCATTATGTTGCATTATACATTGAGATGTAAGAGGACCAGAAACAGAGGCTTTGGGCAGTGTTTGGCAGCTCACTGCTGCAGCACAGCAGATTTCGGTGTCCTGAGATGGCTGTGGCAGCCCTGGTGGCTTAAATGATGTTAACCAGAGGAAAAGTAAATGCAGGGGGGTGATGAATTGGATAGAGAGCCTGACCTCAATATTCAGCAGTACCTGCTGGGAAACGGAGCCTCTGCAACGTGGCACCCTTGGAAAGCTACACAGCCAGCAGCTTCACAGCCACACTACCTCTGAGAAAAACAAAGGTCTCTGGTAAGATGAAGTCCATTCATACGCCCTCCCGACTTCTGCAGATCTTGTTACATGGAAAGCTGTGCTTTCTGCTTTTTCCTTCATGTAGTTCTTTATTAACTCTGTTTTTTTTTAAGACAGTGAAAAAGCACAAAATGATCTGACAGCTCACAGACTCACCAGCGGCCATTTCTCGCCCTGAAACATCCCCCTTCATCAGGGATTGTCACCCTCCCTAGGATTAATATAAAAAATACATGTACGAGGCAAGATCTGCTGAAGGCAGAGATGAGCACAGTACAAAGGCTACTAATTGTATTATTATTGTTGTTTACATCTGCATTGATCCCAACAGCTGCAGCCACTCAAACATCTATTCCTATAAGTGTCAGCATCTTCATTATGCAAAGAAAAGGATACAGGAAAAGAAATTCAGCCAAGCAATAACTCAATGCATGCACAAGGTAAGCGTGGGGGTGATGCCCTGGCTCCTTCCAGGCCATGGCAGGAGCTACAGTTTCATCTTGCATCAGTCAAGAGCAGCAGGAACTTTTTCTTCTGCAGGGGAAGGGGAGGAGACACCACAAGGAGATGGAGAAGCCAACAGTGACTTGGAGGGCATGGGGGGTGATGTGTATATATATATATATATATATATATATATATATATATATATGTATATGTGTCTGATTGAGTTTGGAAGCACATTAGTGACACCTGCTTTGGAGAAGGGGGGGAAGAGAACCATGTTCAGCACCAGCAGCAAAATGTTAACACTGCGGTGTAATTACTGAGTGCTCACCATATATTCAGCCACCGTGCGTTTTGCTACTAATTTCTACTCTAATTGCACCAGAGTCTGTGGACGGAGAAGAAACTGTGGCTCAAGTACCTGCAGCTGCTGCAATAAACGATGATACAAACGTATAGATAGATGTATAGATGCACACTCACAGTACAAGTTTCCCTCTTAAACAGAAACCTTTTAAAGTATATATTTTACTTACGATATGCCACGCTGTATTTGAAACACTCCCATTTCAGATGGGAGCACTTCCCTGTGCCAGCCAATTCTGCCAGCACAGGCATGAAAAACTGTCCCCCTCTCACCATGGCCACATACGCAGCCATACCCAGGAGTGAGGAACAAGGGGCTGGGACACTCCTGGTGCCTAAGGCATCAGAGCCTGTCTCTTCTCCTTTGCACCTTGTCTTGTTAACATCTCTCATGAGATTTAATATCCTTCCTGAAACTTTGAACATTAGTTATTAAAAAAAGCAGACTATCCATTAGCCCTTGATTCTACTTACATGGGAAGCTTCCTCAATCCAAGGGAACTTGAGAGCACAGGCAAGGAGGAGTATGTTGGCTCAAAGTGCTCTTCTGCTGGGCCTGCTCAGCCTGGCTCCCCTGCCATCTACAGGCACTTACTGTATCAAGGCTTCACATTACCCTTAGGATGGAGAGCTACCAGCTGACAGGGCCCTCTTGACTGGCATCACCAGCAGAGGGATGGGGAAACATGCTCTGCTTTAGCTTATCCCGGGGCCTGTGCTCAGCAAGTATCAGAGAGGTTGTCCAACCTTGAATCCTCCTGACTCCGGGCTGTGCTATGTACATAGTGCAATATGGGCACAGAGACGCGTATGTTCCTTAGCTGGAGAACGGTTAGAGGCAGGCACCATCTGTCTGCTGCATACGTATACAAAATGTACTGCCTTGGGCTGTGCAGCTGCTCAACTCTTCTGCCGGGCAGGCAGCAAGGGGTAACGTGCAACATGTGGCACAGCAGGATTCTGCTCCGTGGGCAGGATCTGCAGGTGTTGTTAGAGCTGAAACAGCAGCAGAGGGGCCTGCAGCAAAAGGGAAAGGGTCACTGATCAGTAAAGCACTGCAACACTTACACCTCGTTCTGAAAGGAGCCAATTTTAATGCCCACAAGCATGGCACAAAATGCTGGACAGCAACATACAGAAGTCTTCTGGGAGCTCCCAACTCACAAGCCAGAGGCCTTGTAACACAGAGACTGCCCCCTGAATTCAGATCCATGAACCACAGAGAGAACCTGAAGGACTGAGCAGAACTTGGAAGCAATTCCAGCACACACATAGAGCCTCCCTCTCCCTACAAATCTGCAGGCCGCAAAAGATGATGATTGGCCACGGTTAAAAACCCAGCAAGAATTAGCTGCACTGTTCCTGTCACCTGCTGTCATGGAGCAATGGGGGATTCATATTCTTTCATCATTAAAGAGCTCCTGTCACAATCATGACCATCAGTACTTCTGCATTGCAATAGGTGTTCCTGATGGATCAAGTAGGAAGAAGGCTAACTAATACATAACGGGGGGGGGAAGCAATAAAATGCTCAGTAATCAGCAATGGAAAGAGAAAACTACACATTGTTCTACAGAAGCCTGGGGCCAGGCTCTAGCACAGCAGTATGAGAACAGTTGCAAGTCCAGAACCAAGGAAAGGACCTTCAAAGGAGCGTCAGGCTTGGTTATAAAAAGAAGGAACTTCCCACATAGGATCACTTGCATCTCCTTTGCTGCGGTGCCATGTGGATTTACCCATCTAGTAGGTAACTAATATTTGCTCCTAAGTGGAAATGGGAAAAAAAAGTAGGTGAAGAGGCTGAGAAGAGGATGGCTTTTCAATTAGCATCTTGATCCAAAGTATGTGCTGGGTATTAGCTTCTGTGAGCTGGAAAGACGAACATTGCAGATGCTTTGAAATACATGGAAAGATGGTTAGATGGATGGTCAGAAATCCACTCTCTTTCATAGTGTCAGAGGCAATAAAATTGCAGGGTGGCAATAGCTATTCTATGCTTCATCACCACTGTCAAAATGTCTGTAGTGGAAAAGACTCTTGGAGTCCAATTTCCTGGAGTGCTTGATAGCTTCAGCAAGCAGCTTCGCCACCTGTGAATATAAAGCAGATGATGACTGAGCACCACAAAGGCTTCTGCAGAAGGCTGAGTAATAAAGCAAGGTCCACACTTTGACACTCTCCCCCTGTTGCTGCCCAGTGCAGCTCCAGCTCTCGAATCCATCCAAGTCAAGACAATTTCCAAGTGACTGTGCATGGAGATTGAGCCCAGCAACAGAGCCTGCTGCCCGGAGAGGTATGTGGAGGTGCTGATTTCTTGGGCAAGACAGCTGTGTACCATGGGAGATGTTGTTCCTCCCTACAGCCCAAGCCTTTAAAGAAAGCACAGTTATTCTCCTCACATACACTCAAGACATTTGAGTTCTGCAACCAAATCAGCTCAGTTAAACATATCAAGCAGGTGTGGTTATAAATTTTGGATGGGAACTCCTTTTCTGGTTGTCAGTGTGTGTTTTGCTAGTCAGAAGAGGATGGGTTTTCAATTTCCCATTCCTAGTAATCATGCTTGGCATTATCCTGTCTGTGAACTTAGAGCTTGGCACTCTCTCTGCTCCCCATTCACTCAAATCACAGCAGAAGATCTTGCACAGCTAGACATCAGTTCGAGCCACTGGGTTCCAAGTCGGCACTCACTAAAATCAACAGGAATTTGGCTGCTGTGTTTAATGAGAGCCAGATGAGGCCCTTCTGTGACAGTTGAAGCCACTTGCAAAGGAAGCTGAGGTACTGATGGCAGCAGGAGTCCCACTTTGCATCACTAAATGTCCCTTCCCCTATCAACAAGTGAAAGGGGGTTGTCAGGAATGACAAAACACAAAAACGTTTGGCAGCTGGGGACTAAAACAGGACCAAAATCCATAGGCAGCATTTCCACCTGGATGGTGTTCTGGAACTGGATTGCCCTAGGCATCATCCAAGAAAGTACAGCTCCCACCCGCTCTAAACTTTGAGGATCTGTACTGGCAAGTCTTCCTACCTCCAAACTGTTCACACTCAATTTAAACATATTACAGAGAGTCCTGTGCAGGAGATCTGCTCCGAACTAGAACTGGAGCAGAAATAACCTTGGGCTACAATACAGGACTCCAAATGTCTATTTTTCTGTTTTGCTTTGAGCAATGTTACTTTGCACAGTACCACAAAAAAACCCACAAAAAACTATTTAAATAATTGTATTGCCATGATGTTTGGCTATGCTGTTATTTCTCAAGGATAACAAGGGTCCCCATACACTGAAATCTACGATCAGGAAATCCTGGAAAGTTCTGAAGGCTCCTGTGTGACTAGGAGTAGAAAGAACAACCTGGAAGGTACCTGGAAATTAGTGAGCAGAGCAATCCCGCTGTCGATAGCCAGCCGCCGGATCACGTAATTATCACGGACGAACTCAGAGCTGCTGCCGGGCAGGTTAATCACCAGATCTATTTTCCTATCCCTTACCAGCCTGCAAGGGACAACGCACAAGACAGTTTCACTGTGCATCTTGCTTAACCAAACTCTATAGCACAGCCATGCAACTCAACAAGACTCAAGGTTTTCATTTGAGCTTCACTTTTATTATAAAGTCTACCATCCCTGGAAAGAAGAGCTGAATGGTTAAGACACCAAGCTGTGATGCTAGCTTTGCTTCTGTCCCATTTTGAAATACAAAGCAAAGCTCAACTATCATACAACTCAGCACAACTTCATTAAACACACGACTCGGTGTCATCAAAGGCTAAATATTTAGATATCACATACTTTTGCTTAAAAAAATCAGCATGGAGAAATACATCCATGCTGTATTAATCAGACCTGTTCAACAAGATGGTCATTAATTCATCCAGGGTTCCTGCTATGGCGCTTGCAAGTAGAATCAAGCAAAAAGAAACTATGATGCATCCCTGAAGTCTGACGACACCATCCCTGATGTCAACAGGACCAGGAATTTGCACCTTCCATTTCTAACACAGTGCTGACCATTGTCCTTACCTCCTGAGTGAAGGGAGCCTGGGATCTTGGCTGTCCCGTGATGGCCACGCCACTGGAGTTGCTGGGATGCTGTTGGCCTTGAGCCAGGCAGAAGTTTCTTCTGTGGCAAAAAGCTGTTCAAGGGAAACAAGGTTTTAAGGTTATTGTGTGCTTTGTAATGCAGAAGCATTTTGTTTAACCCATGCGGGTCAGATCCAATGTTCAGTCTGGTTGTCGGAGCTGATTCTGGAAGGCATTTTTCATTGTATGGGTGTTTCTCCATATAAAGACACGTACAGGATGACGTGTCTTTTCCCCATTTTGTGATCTGCTGACAGACAATAGTCAATAAATGATATTAACACATCCAGCAGCAGTTAGAACTAAATCCCTCTGCCTAGCACCTTAAGTCTTGAAAGGTGGAACTGCAAGTCCAGCAGTTGCACTAACGCCACCGAGCTGCTCACAAGAAGTACATAAATGCTTAACAATCTAAAGCATTCCTCATTCTTTTATGATCACGGTGTTTACTTCCAGCAGGGATATGGATGTGAAACGACACTGAAAAGAGTAAAAAGAAGAATGCAAACCAGTGCGAAATTCATATGGCCACAGCTTGCAAGTATCATTAAAGAAGAAATACTGTAAAGACCTTCCCTACATGAAGGGCTTCCCCTCCCTGCCCTCCTCTCACACACGACAGCCTGATGGGCAGCTTTGTTTCTTGGAGAATTTGGAGCGATTTATCATATGACATCCTGGCTGCAGGCTGAGCAGAGCCAAGGCTGTTCGTACCCTCGTGACTTAATCCTGTTTGCTCAAGTAAATAATAATGAAGACTTTTGGTTGTGTAATACACCCTGGCTTTATGGAGCAGTCAGTTAAAAATCCCCGCTGTACTTTAAAAATTTTTTTTTCTCTGCCCCTAAACGGGCTCTAAATTTCTTCCCCTTTCTGTCTGATGATTTGGCTCCAGCTTTATGTGGTTCTAGCTTTATGTATCCAAACTACCTACCTTCAAACCTTGCTCATGAAGTAGCTCTGCCACACTGAGGAACTTTGGACGGAAGGAATTCTGAAAAAGAAGTTAATTAAATAACACATCAAAGCTAGGATTTGGAAATAGTGTTTCGTAGGGCAACACAGCTCTGCAGAGCATGCAAAGAGGTAAATGCACCTGCTGTGCTCGGTCTGCCTGTCCACACGTGTGTGTGCAGGTGGAGCAGCGTGCCAAGAAAATGGTCTGAATCCCGAAGCCCAAAGCCACTCGTGGCTGAGATGTCTTGTTACAATGCCAGGCTATATGCTCTGTGTTAAGTTTTGCTGCAATTACAAAACAGCCCTGGATATTAAATATCAGGACAATCATCATCTCAAATTCACCAACTGGCAACGCCTACTTAATTAAGTGGCATTCTTAATTAAATGTTTTCACTATCACTGCCCAAACATTTGGCCTTCCGTTCTGGCAAAATGGCAAATACAAACAGGCTTTGGGCTGCTTGTGGATGCTCTGTTTGCAAATTGACGCGATGAAGAGCCCGCTGATGCACGAGTTCATTTCTCACTCCCACGGGCAATGGAAAGTACAAAACCACTTGTGAGACTGGGATGCCCCATTCCCACGAGGACCTGAACACTCAGGTACTCAGGATGCATCCAAGGGGCTCTCTCCAAACACACAGCCAGATCTAATGGTTGTTTAGAAGAAATAAAGATGAAATAACCTCTTGTAGACAGTCTGCTCCTGCACTGGCCCTTTTAGAGCAAAATGCGAGCAGAAATTTGATGCTGGTTATGTATTTTCTTCTGGATGCTGAAGGTGTAACGATACAAAGATCAAAAGCATTGTAGACCCTCCTCATTTCAGAGCCAACTGGCATCTCACTTCTAACCCAAGCCTAGTCTGGTTTTTTTTTGGTTGTTTTTTTTTCTTTTTCCCCCAGAGAGAATTACTGCAGCCTCCCTGTTGGTACTACTGATGGTCTCAACCTGCTGGGGCAAGACAAGAGTATTCTGAAGGGTGAAGTATTATGAAGAACAGGAGTCAATGTCCTTTTTTTGAGTGCTAGAGACACTGAGAACCACCTCATTTTAAAGCCATTCTGTTATGTACACTAACTGGAAAATATAAATATACAATGTGACAGGGTTGGCAGCTTCCCAGTCAGAGAGAACCGTTCTGCCTTCTGGTCAGAAGGGTTGGCTTTCACAACAGTATTATAAACTTCTATCAAACATGTACTGAACACTTGTGACACATAAAACAGCCTCTCCATGAAAAGAAATTACAGCTGTCAGCTTGCATCGGAGCAGATTTACAAGCTGACTGAAAGAACCTGTGTAAGAAACCATTAGTTACTAAAGGTGAAAAGTACAAGCAGATTTATTTAGTGCAAGATATTTATTGCAGGAAAACAGTATTCTTGTTTCCCTTATAGGAAAAGTTTTATTTCTTATGTCTCTCCCACAACTGCTTGCATATCTTGCCATTTGTAAAGAACTAAATCCTCAATTATTTTGGTATAGTTATACCAGTTTTTACTAAGTTCAGGCTCAAAATGAAACTAATTCATCTCCTGTCTTGAATACTGTATCCAAGTCCACTGCAGAGCACACAAGACTTTCTGCACTTAACGAAGGCAGCAGATATGGCAGAAGGTTACCTTGAAACAACAGCCTCGGAATGGCAGGATTTAAAAATAAAACACTCCATTAATGTTTTCTGCATCTTGTGGTCACCAGCGCAGATGCAAGACAGATGCACTCCATCCCAGAGATATGACTGAATAGCCCAATCAGGGAGGAAAATAAAATGAGCTTTTCAACTACTCTTGCATAAAATATAAATTATTTAATGGCAGACTCAGGGTTTCAGCGTCACAGATTTCTCCAAATTGTGCAAAGAGGTCAGATGATCAGCTTGCAGAAGCTGTCTGAGAAGCACTTGTGCCCTGCTCCACTTGCCCCAGGAGCATGTTAGGCCCTTGAAACCCTGGGGAACCTCAAGCTGTACCAGGCCAGACAGTGCGGGCAGCTCCAGGACAAGGCAGGGGGGCTTTGTGAGCCGGCCTGGAACCCAACGTGCCTCAGGTTGTCACACCCCGTGCGGAACTGCTCCTCTTTGGCCTTGAGATGACGACCAGTGACACAAAGGGGTGCTATACTGTCTCACCTAAACATGTAACAGTGTGCTACACCACATAACCTATCTATATCGAGTCAGGGTCTCCTTACACATTTAAGGAAGCGTGTTTCTATTTATGCTAGATCTTTAGGGTTTACAAGTGGGCTGGTGCACATGCTCCTGCTGGGAACAGACCCAAGTGCACGAGAGCAGCTAATGGAGAGGATGCTGTAGCTGAATGCCGGGGCTGCGGTGGGATCCATGTCCCCATGTGCTGTGACATCTCCAGCAGTCACAGCACGGGACTTCACTTTGAGTCAGTAGTTATAGTCTGGTGTTTAACACCCACCTGCTGCCACTGTCCTCATGCCACTAGTTTCTGCAGAGAAGCTCCTCTTCTCTCCAGCCTGAGCCCGCAGGACACAGAACGTGTTGTTCAGGAACCCGGGCATCAGGACCACAACCTCTTACGAGGCTTCACTTCCCTGCCCGGCAGATTGCAAAAAGAAACCCTTGAAATGTAGGTATGGGATAAACTCCAGGGAGGTGGGAGTGCAGTATCTGGTCCTCAGCATTAGCTTTACCCTTCATATTTTGGAGTTTAGTTATGTAAGAAGTTTTCTGAGATGAGAGACCTTTAAGTGACTGATCTGCAGTTTTCCGGTTTCTTTTGCATGAAAATGAACTGTAAACTACTCATTAAAAAGGACAGAAGACTGTTACTTTTAAAAGGCTGGGAGGATTGGACTTCTTTCTGTTTTATCTTTTTTTTTTTTCCTCTCTCCTTAAGACCTTTGTACAAAGACTATTTGCCTCAGTTTAACAGATACTGACACGGGAGTTACACAAATGCTTTATATAGCTAAAATCACCCTGCTGCCTGTTCCCTTTTAACTACTACCAGGCAAACAGACTTCAACTTTAGACACTGGGCTCCTTTTTTCTTTCTGGGCTTTTCCTCCCCCTTTTAACTGCTGTTTTAAAATCTTAATATTGCAGTGAATAGATGCAAAGGATTCAATTGAGTTTTACATTGAACTTTTTAATTTTAGCTAGGCAACATGCCACAATTTTGCTGTTAATTTGAGGCAAACTCTAGCAATGGTTTCAAGCCCTGAATTTTTTCTTTTCTTTTTTTTTTTTTTTTTTAATTAATAAAGCAAGAACTGGCCATCTGTGCCAGCCAAAGCCATGTTCCTTTCAGACCAGTTCTCACAATCCACCTTCACATCCTCAGCTGGTCCAGGCAGCCCAACACACTTTACACACACCCCTATTCTGCTCAGAGAATTCCTATGTTCTACCCTTTTGTTCACTGGCTTTCTGCAAACATGCAGGACACAACCTTACTAAAAAGAAAACTGGAATATGGCAGGGACAAAAAGTTGTCTTTATGGGGCCCAGGTATGTTCTACTTGGATAGGAAACAAGAGATTGACAAATACAGACATGGCTGTAAACAGACAATTTACAAATGTATCCAAAAGCAGCATGTCCCACAGCTGGTTATTACCCCATGAGAGAGAGCAAATCCTTTTGCTTTTCTGCCAGGCTACCTTTTCATCTTAAAACACTTATCTTCTTTGCCAGGTCAGAACTGTTAAGTAGAACCGTGCTGTTCCCAAGGCCAATCCACCAGGAATTCCCTCAAGAAAGGCTCTCTGCAAAAGCCACCGACTGAAGGACATTCCCACCACAACTTCCATTCATGCAAAGCAAGATCCCTCTTTTGTGTTCATTCCTCACTGCCTGTCACACTTCAAGATGGATTGCAGGGAAATGTCTTTTAAGTCGACAGTTCTCAATTAAGCATAAAAGACACATGGATGAAAACAAATCAACAGTTAGAGTGTTACTCTGTGTCAGTCCCCTCTCAGGTTTGGTGTTTGAGTCTCACCTGGATTCCAATCAGAATTCCCTTCTTAGGAAACATAAACCCTGTGGCAAGCAGGGCCTTCTGGAAAGCAGAGTACACATCCTCCCCGAAGCAGGCAACCTGTCAGACACAAAGAAAAAGGCATCAGGAAAAAACATGCTTTAAAAAGAAACAGTGATTGTGCTCTTGACTTCTTCACCAAGAATCAGACCTTATTCTTCCTCAAGAGTCTGCAGGCAAGGCAGAAAAAAAGCCTAGAAAAATCACTGCAGACAAATCTCATGATTTTAATGAAGCAATAACAAAGGAATAAGCAACGCTTTAGTTTCAAACAGCACACCAAGGAGCAACAGCAATTGATTTGGCTAAGAGTTATGGGGATGGTGTACACAGCTTCTGCTCCACAGTGTTTGCGAGTGCACTGCAAAATGTTTACCATTATATAGTGCTTAAGTACCAGTGAGCATTAGGCAGGCAGGCAGCACCTCTGTGCGTCTCTTCTGGAGCAAACTGTGCTTAAGGCTGCACTTGTGTTGCCATGTCCTTCCATGCATTTCATGTAGGAAGATACCACAGCTTGTCAAGATCACCTCCCATTACAACTCCCCTGATTTAGAAAACACAGCTAGTGTCAATATACACCAAAGGAAACCACAGAACCACCACACTGATTCAAAACAATTTATTTTATACAAATAAAAGCCTAATAAACAAATCAATAAAGATTGCACAGGCAGTACCCCTTGATGCAGGAGTCTCTGTGGAACTCAGCTGCTTACAGAAGGACACACAATAATGCTTTTCCCTAAACCCATCGTGCTGTACATTAGGCCTCTTCACTGTGGCATGGCCAAAACAACTGTGATACACAAGGGACCCCAAGCACTGCCATTTTGGCTCACGTGGCAACTGCTCCTGCCAGCAAAATACAGCTTTGCCAAATAAAAGTGCCAAATTCAAGCCCAAACCAAGTCGTGTGTGTTAAACGTCTTTGAGGAATAATTGAGCATTTTACCAGAAGAGAGTTATTATCCTTACTTCACTCATAAGGAAGACCTTCGTAACTGTCACATTTTATGGCATTTGTGAATATAGATCTTTAACTCATAAAAGTTAATAATCCCTCCCTTATGACCAAGATAATCTCTAATTCCATATAAAGCTCAGAAAAAAAAAATTCTTGCTCTTAGTTACATTTTTATTCTTTTTTTTGGGGGGGGGGATTGCATGGGAAGAGAGGGGAGAGAAATTTGTTTTGTTTTCTACAAAGTCAAATTTATTCTGAAAAGAAGGAGAACACTTGGCTTTTTTCTGCCCATTAACCAAATCATGAGGAAATCTGCTATACTGCTTTCACACACTGAATAATGAGCAGAATAGAACAGTTCTGGAGACAGTAGAAAACCTAAGGCTATTCCAGCTACGTATCTGGGTCTACTGCTTGTTCATACTAAAATAGTAAGTCTCTCTTTATGAAAACAGCTCTCGTAGACCTACCCAAGCTCAGGTCAAATGCAGCAGCCCAGGCTCTGCCATCTGTCCATCTAAGCCAGCTCTAATGGCCTCAGTATTTAATCACTTAAATGTGCTTGCCAGTCTAGCAGTCCCTTGCTACAACTCTCTTCTAGAAACTTCAGAGCTAGCAAGCTTAAGGAATGTGAGCATATGTCTGCAGAGCTATTGACACATCAGCAATAACTAATGAACAGACTTGGAAGCTTCTTTACTCTAGGTGAGTTAAGATCTCTTCAGAAGCTATATATGGAAAACTACATCTCTTTGAAGGGTCAAGGCTCTCATCCTATCAGTGCACCAAGGAGCACTTCAGAGCCCGACCTAGGGAGCAGCAGGCAAGGAAGTCCAGCTGCTCTGCTCCCATCCTGCTGCCATCACATTTCATTCTCTCTTCCTCACCTTTTTGCACCTTGGGACATACCTTTATAGCAGGCAACAACCAAAATATCACTACATATTTCTGTAGCCATTAAGTAGTATGTGCAAGACCAAACGGTCACAACCAAGTCTTGACACTGCTATTCTGCTGCGCTTCAGTGGGGGGTTGAAAGCAGCATACACTTGTCTGTCAAGAAGCAGGTGATTCATAAAATGGACTGACACACTGAGAACATCCCAGAGCCCGACAGCTCTCAAAAATCTCATTTCATGCTATCACACCAAGCAGGTCCAACTTGGGAACCTGAGACACAGCTAAAGAGGGACATCCAGTGGCTGAATAAACTGGGTTCTCCACAATGTGTTTTTACAGAAAGTGTTTTTTTTTGAAGAAGAATCTAGATTCTATTATGATTCAGGATGCAATAAAGTCCCATTTAGACATGAATGTTTAAAGACCACTTTTAAAAATCATAATAGTAAAAGCTAAGATACCTCCCCGGTAGAGGCCATCTCACACCTGAGAACAGGGTCAGCATCTCTCAGCCGGGACCAGGAGAACATCGGGGCCTAGTGAAAGACAGAAAAATTAAACAGACCTGAGTAAAAAATTAATGGATCAGTAGAAAACCTAATGACAGTGACAGAGAGACAGCTTAATCTAAAACAAGCATTGGCCAGCTCTGATAAGCAAAGGAACAAGTGGCAAATGAGGTTTTCTCAGCCCCCTGACAAAGGCCAACACATATTTCACTAATAAATCTTCCTCCTGAGTCTCAAAAGCCAGCTCACATTCTGATGGCAGATTTCTGATTTGTGGTAGTTCACTATCATTTTTAAGGCACATTTTAAGAAATGTTGTGAAGCATCATCAAACAATGAGAGATACTATCTGAAGCCTGTCCCCAAGAGAAATTTTTCATTCACAGGAATGAAAGTATTCCATAGGAATACACTTACAGCAAAAAGATGATGAAACTTCACAAGTGATTTTTAAGTTTTACCTCTCTTTCCCGCCTCCTGCCTCAAATTTAAAATTAAAAATTAAAGTCTGAGGGTAGACATTGCAGAGAAGAGGTAGGCTGTTTCATGGCCCCCTACAATGACCAACTAAAATGTGACAGGAGAACTTTGCTGTGAAAAGGGTCAATAAGCAGTACGTGTGTTGGCACCTTCTAGGTCAGTCTTGCTTTATGTACCAGTAAAGAGTAATTTTCTACATCAGCCAACTCTATAGGCTCAAGCTGAGAGCTGACAGTCAAGGTGGATTCATTTTAACACACACATTGGCTGTCTCGAATGGGAACAATTGACCAAAGCCTCCTGACCAACTCCCTGCATTCTGCTTGCCCCGAGCATGAAAATGTGAATTTTGTGAAAATGAAACTGGGTAACGCAATCTTCACTTTAAAAACTTTTAGTCATGCATTACCCGGGATTTAATCTCGGTCAGCCCACAGTCGCCCTGTCACTCTGCAAGCAAACATAGCAGGACAGTATTTTGGTTGCTAAAGCTAAACTTGTGAATTCACAAGGGAGCAGCTCTGTCGAGAAAGACGACACCAGTTTCATGTTCTCTTTTCTGGGCATTTAAGAACTGCTGGAGGAACAAAATTCCGTTTCCATGCAAATATTTCTAGCAACAAAAATGTGAAAGTATAGAAAACATGATGCATGAATAGCAAAAACCTGGTTTAACTGGTACATTTTTCAAAGTATCACATTTCCAAAGTCACTAGGCAGGATTTTACATTTGACAAATCCACACAGAACCCAAGCAGTGCAAAAGGCTTTGTAGTGAAGTTTTGAGGAGCGCTGCTGCATTTTCCGCTCTGAAGCCAGCACTCCCAAGAGAGATGCAGCTCTTGACAGTTCAGTTAGCAACGGTACAGAAGCCCCAGGTTAAAATAACACAAACTTTTAAAAATAAATCATATTAACAAAAATAAAACAAAAAAACTTCAGATGAGAATTTCAGAAAACGTTAATCTGTGACATCAAAATAAAACGCAAAGCTGCGTCTAGACTGACTGGCTTGCAAATAACATAAGCTGCCTTGGCCCATTGATTTCAATTGCATTTTAATGGGTCTGAACGTTTTATTAGAAGGATGTTAGCTCTGTTTCTTAGTATTCATTTGATATGGAAACTATTAAAGCTTGAAAGTTTCTGTATAAACAATTCTCATTAACTATCATATTTTCTGCACTGTTGTTCTAGATTTTTATGATTAGGAACTTCAACTTTTTCTTTTTTTTAAACAACCTAGCAGTCAGTATCTGGAGAACTTTCTGGTATCTAGGATGTGTAAAATTTTTGTAATTAAAGCGAAATCTCAGCCCTACTGAAATCAAAGGAGCTTAGACTTTCATCTACACTGTTACTGGGGATTCATATAAAAGGAATTCTGTTCATTGAAAAGTCCATGTCCCAGATCTTGGAAAACAAATTTGGGGATACGCTAAGCGCATATATTTGTACATCTGCACAAATAGACAGTATCACTGAAAGGTCTGAGTTTCAGCAATCACTTCTGAAAGTGCATACTTATTAGATAATTTAGAAACACAATTCAGAGTGGTTAGAAATAACAAAAAGTAATTTTATTAATAACTAATGGATAGTTTTCCTTCGTTTTTTCACTAGTATTACAAATGTCCATTAGCACAGTGGACACTGCGAAAGCCCAACTTGGCCTTCAGACAAAGAATAATTTTCTCAGTGAGTAAAATTAGTTCTTTAATGCCCAGAGAGCAAACTCATGTGCTATATGCTGGCTTTGCTGGGGTTTTGGGTTTTAGTGTTTCATTATTTTGATTATTTATTAACTTATTTACATTCTTCTAAACCCCTACCTTAATCCCAATGTATTTGGAGGGAATAATTGGATGCTCCAGTGTGGGAAGGGCCGATTCATCAACCTCTTGGCCAATCATCACTTTTGTTGCCACCTCAATGAAGTCCACGCCCAGAGTCTTGGATACGAAAGGGAAGGAGCGTGAGGCCCGCAAATTGCACTCAATCACCTGGCGAAATTAAGAAGGAGAAACACCAGGATCAGACAGAATGCTGCCTAAGAAATAGATTAATACAAGTTTCTGAAAAACAGTTGTTCGTTCTCTTTGTGGAGATGGTTCTCAGACTGCCAAATGAGACACATACTCTGCTCTCCTCCTTTCTCCATAGTATTGGCTCATGAATGACTGGGCAATCATTGGTTACTGACTTTCCTCACCAATACTCAGCCACTCAAGAAAGAAAAGAAGTTCTGCATCCTGCTGAGAAGCCCACTGTGGAGTTCCTTAGCAAGAGAGGAAACCTGGAGAGGGAGAACAAAGGTGGCAGCCAAGAATGAAAAAGGTGGAAGGAAAAGAGGGGTAATCCAGAGAGGGAAACACAGCTGAGGGAAAGCAAGGAACTAAAGGCTCCTCTGTGGTCTCCGAGTAACTCTGTAACAAAGTCAGTGTGAACCAGAAGAAGCAGTGAAGAACTCTAAGCAGCCTTTTCTCAATCAACACCTCAGACAGCCCTGCGTTATTTCCCAATAACACAGTCTCCCCTCCCTGCCAGGTTTTCCATGCATGCCTTCCTCAGCTGTCCTCTGCTCTCACTCCCTGACCTTCCTCCACGAAGGACAGTGTGCCAGCTCTTCCACGAAGGGCCAGGCATCCGTGCTGCTTCTGTTGTTGATAGCTACCAAGACTGCACTGTTTAGATAACCATCTTAATGGCTTTTATTAAGAGCTTAAACACTTAAATTATCTTGCTTTCTTTCCAGTGACTTGGAAGGCTTGCTGTAGCTATCAAACTCCCCGAAGAGAGAGGACAGAGAGTTGAAAACAGCAGTATTTATTTCATAAAATGCAACAGCCCCCAGTTCCTAAGATAAGGCATAGGTCTCACTGTTATCCATCATATTCAAAACTGACAGTTTTGAGAAAGACCAAAGCCCACAGAGAAACTAAAGCTACTACTGAAAGACAAGGCAACGAGACCTCCTTAACCCTGAAAGGCTGCACTGTACTAGCAGGAGGGGATGCTCTCTCCACACATGGCGAGCTGTGTGACCCAGGGGTGGCCCAAGCAAGGCACACACCATCACACCACGCAGGTCTGGAACCCACAGCTGCAATTGTCACAGAGGTTCTGGGACAAGGACTGCAGGAACCAGGCACCAAAGCACCCAGAGCAGAGTTTGCTCCCGAAGCCACAGGAGCTCTTACCAGCACATCATTTCCTCGCACCAAGAACTGGATGTTGAACGGACCAGAGATAGCAAAAGCATTTGCAATCTTTCTCGTAGCAACTTTAATCTACAGAAACAATGAAAAAAATGTATAAAATATACATATACATTAAAAATTAACAATTCCTCCCCCAACAGACAACATCACATCAATAAATCCCCTTACATTCCTTCAAACTTCATATCTCTCTGCTCAAGCATAATTTTTCTCTATACCCTTATTTTGGCAATACTCTTTTGGCAATAATCTTTTAAGTGTTTAATTTGCCTAGTAACCTAGAAACAGGAGCTGCATTTGAAGGCAGAAGTAAAAAGGGCTTGGGAAGAGTGGCCCATGGCACATACATGCATCAGACACGCTGCTGCACTAAGGCCCCTCGTCCTAAAAGAAGGAAACAAAAAACCAGAAAGCCCCAGTAGATCCAGAAAGTGCCCATCTCTACTACTTACATTAATGGGCCGTATTTCAGGTGACTCCACACATTTTACAGCTGCTCCCTGAGGCCACATAGGAGCCCCCTGACATCCTACATTTGCACAAATCACATGGGCCTTCATAAACCACTGAGTTGATGTCTCTTGAAACCAAAATCAGTTCTCCCAAGCAAGGAAGAAGCGGATTCCAACTCTCCTTGTCCTCTCTGTCAGATGTTAGGAGAAACCCACCTTCTCCAGGGCTCCCTGGCTAACAGTCTGAGCGGGCAACACGAGGGTGGCATCTCCAGAGTGCACCCCTGCGTTCTCCACGTGCTCCGAAACGGCATGTGAGATGACCTGCGTGCAGAACCGAGAGAGCAGTTAGCCACCTCACCAGGCTCAGAGCTGCCCTCCCATTTCCATGCCCTCTTTCAAATACAGGGCTCCACAGACTCCTAAACTGAGCTGTATCCATGAGAGGAGAGAGACAGGAAAACTCAGAGAGAACAGGCCTGAGGCATCTACAGGATAAAGGGACACTGAGATGGTGCCAGTGCCTTTCACACTATGGCTAAGCCAACCACAAACACATTAAACCTATGACAGTCTTGAAGCCCTTTCACTTCCCTCCTCTTTCTAGCACACATTTTGACAAAAAACAATAAAAAAAATTAATTAAAAGCCTTTAAACCAGCTAAGATCTGCTTGTCATTTTCAAATAGGAACAACTGTCTAACAATGTAATTTGTACATATTTGTTGACCCCTTGGGGAGGGTTTAATCACAGAGAAATGCAAGTGTGGGAAGTTCAGGCCTAAAGGAATTTAAGCTAAATGAATTGCATCAAGTTGCAGTACTTTGATACCCCGAAAGGCAATGATTTTGTTTGCTGGTCAAAAAGGAAGAGTGAAGATAGAATATTTCTGCTGCATGAAATATCTGCGGTTGTTTGAGAGGATTATTTTGGTTAGTAATGAAATACAAAATGAAGTTATAATAATAAAACAACTATGGCAATATCGTAACAAGGGCTGATATGATTCTGATGCAAGACACTCATGAAGCCAGTGATTTGTGAAAGCAATAAAAACTATTTTCTAAAGGACTCATTCAAGTGGTGAAATGACATTTTAGTAGTAAGTAGTTATATGGATACAAAAGGGTAAGGGCATCTTGAGCTTTTGCAAGCACTTTTTTTTTTTTTTTTTTAAGATCTCAGATATATTCATGTCATTACTCAGCAAAAAACTCAAGGCTGTACAGTAAAACACTCAAACCACCTATTTTTGCAAGCCTCTGATTTAAAGACGTTTAATATTAAGAAAAAGCAAAATTCTTACTCTTCCTGCCTTGGCTACAGCATCCATTTCCACCTCACGGGCATCTTCAATAAATTTAGTGAGTACCACAGGGTGATCCTATCATCAAGACAGGGAAAAAGAGAGCTTTAATTTGAGAGTATCTGGTGGCCATCCAAGTGTTTCCTCATTCATCACTGGAAAAAGCCTCGGAAGCAGAATATCACAGGAGCAGTTATTAGTATCCTCGTTTCTGCAGGAAGGTGAACTTGGCCAAAGAAGCAATGGGGCAAACCTGGTGTGATCTCCCCAAAGCTGCTGCTGCTGCTGCATTAGTCAAGCAGGACTGAGGCCTCCACAGTTGGTCACCACGGCTAGGAAATGAGCCGCCCCAAACACACTCATCCATATTCTCATTTTTATGCCCCTTTCTTCCTGCCCCTCTCTGGAAGAACAGCCTGAAGCATCCGCTCTACTCTGAGCTTTCTCTTTCCAGCCACCAGCTCCAGAGGACAATGAAAATCCCATCCCCAGCACTCTTCCAGGCCACCTTTATGACTCAACACTTTACCTTTCCCATCCACTATTAACTGCCTGTTATTTATTAGAGAATAAAATAGAATAAATGACGGTCTGTGCATGCTCAAAAGGCTTCTTTTGAAAAAAATATAAAGCAACTTCAAAAGTTACAAGAGACAATCTCTTACATTTATCAGCACAAGGGTAAATTCAAAGACAAGGACAATGCCACAGCCTACACCATTTCATAAATTTAGAGGCTTATGTCCTGTAACTTTCTGACTTGCTGCAGTTTTTCACCAGAAGGTTTTACATGTGCATTCAGTCTTGTTTATTCAAATCTGTCTCAACTCTTCCAAGAAGTTTTGAACAGTACTGACAGCTTAAATGCCATAATAAGGCAACAGCATAACAGTGATGTGGCTAAAACAACAGAAGAACATTTGTCAGGCACTTCTTGAGCTGCAGAAGCCTTGCTGGGAGGAGAAGGCTTAGGTAAGGCTTTATAAGCAGAAGATGTGTCCCACTCAAGTGCTTTTACTCACTTGCACACTCACAAGTATTATTGCTGGCCTCAGTGGAACCACTCACAGACCACAAATATTCCACCAGTATAAAAAATGCCCATCAGAAAACTCCCCAAGCTCAGAAGCAGAACGCTGTTCTGGTTTGCCTTTTTTTGCTTCAACTATACAAAGGCTTTTGACTTTGTAGAAACATCACATAAAAGGAAAATAAAAGCAGCCTTTCCTTAGCAATTCGAGTACACTAGCAAATATTTAATAAGCAAATCTGGCATGGGCCACTGCAGGATCAAGGCCAGAGCACCCAAAGACTCAAGAATTGCCACAGAACCACAATGGGTCAGGGCTGCAGGAAGCACCAGCACCTCATCGGTGCTGCAGAACCCCCGAGTCACAAGGATCCCGTGGAAGCATCCCCTCCTTTCACCAGGAATACAGCACATGTTGCCACACCACAAGTGGACCCTCTGGTCTTTTAATTAATCATTAGCATTCTCCTCCTTTCAGAAGTCCCTTCAAAAGTGTTAACCAATGGAACTAAGCAGTCTTCTTTCCTCCAAGGAACCTATCTCTCCAGAGCAGTTTTACTCCTGAAAAAAATGACATAATTCTTGTTTCATATTCTTTAATGTCCTCAGAAATCCACTGAGTAAACAGTAATGTGACTGACGTCCATAGCCAGTTGTGTTTGCAGGGTTCCTCTAACTTACTTATTTCTAACTGCCAGGTTCCTGTGATTGCTGCAGGGCTGTCTGAACAGGGGCCATGCAAAGCACAAACCAACAGGCTAAGCGACCAGGCCAAACTCAGAGATTGCTACAAAGTCAGATTCAAAACTCTAAATACTGCTCGTTCAAGCCCAGTCATTTAATATTTTCCATCTCCCACCTTCTCATCTCTCCAAACATCTTCCCTTGTTACAGTAACACTGATAAGAACTACAGAAGAAATTCAAGCTTTGAATTGTGTTTACTATGTTCTGAAGCACTCATGTCTTTGGGAAACTGCTTGGATTTTACTATTCTAAATTTCAGTGTACAAGACCAAATCCCTCTCTCTGCTAGGAAAGAGAAAAAAAGATGAAAAAAAATCCCCGAATTTACTTCTGAAAGACATTCAAAAAGGAAACCAGAGCTTTCATCTTCTACGTTCTGTACTCTGCAGATCAATAATCCCACTGGATTAACAGTAAGCAGGCAGTAGTCCTGCTTTTGTATCAAAGAAAAATGCAACTCAGTACGTGATTTGCAGAGTTAAATGTCATATCAAAAACTTGTAAAGATTTCCGCATTTAAGAAATGGATCGAGGGAAAACAACAACAGAAAAAGACTGCACACATCATCAGTGGGAGAGAAGATGCCAGCATGAAGTTTAATTTGTTCAAAGTCAGGCAAAATGGTTCATAAATTAAGTGAAAGGTAATTTCAGTGCTATCATGGTCAGTTGAGATGTGTGGCTCCTGGCAAGCTTGGATGGGGTGCGTGGGGGGTCCCAGACCATCACCCTAACTGAGATGGAAAACAAATGCAGTGCAGGTGAACCAACACAGCAAACACCAGGACAAGCAGAGCACTGACAGGGCAAGGGCTGATACCTGGGAGACTCTGGTGGCTTCTGCTAAGAATTTCTTCATCTCCTCTTCAGTGAATGCCACGTTCATTGCAGACCCGCTGGGAAAGGCAAAGCAAACAAGTCACCTTTCCTTGCAGCTTCAAGGCAGACAGCAGTGTTAAGACTGGTGCAGAGTCAGCGCTCAAGTCCCAAACATTTTACACTGTACATGCAAATATGCTCCAAAGACACAAGACCCATTTTTAGCCCACGAGCTCATGGTGGAAGGAGCAAAGCACAAGGCCACAGGTGCTCGCTACGAGTGTGAATACAGATGAAAAGGGACCCCTCATTGCTGAGGAATTATTTTGCTGTGCCCATTCCCTAAAGGTTTTCCAGTGCCTGAATTCTGCATCCAAAAGCCATATACTTTGAAGTGCAGCTGCCAGTTATATCTGAGAAGGGGATTTAGGAGTTTTCCTTTGAGAACAAGTGATTCAGAGAATAAGGTTTTTTTTTCTTTTTTTTTTTTTTTAAATAGATGCTACACTGGCCATTCCTATCACGCTGCTGCTCAGCTTCCCCTTTGCTTACATGGACAAGGTTACAGAAACTGTGAGGAAAGGGGAAGAAGGATCTATCCCTGAAAACATCCTAGAAATCTGTCACTTCCACTAAAGATAAATAGCTGCAAGTAGCTGCAGTTGCTTATGCTTACTGGGATGCATCTTTTGCTGATCTAAATCAATAAAGTTCAATTAAATCCAAAGACCTATGTCACTTCCCCCACTGAGGATGTGAGCTGGCATGTACTGCAGAAATGCGGAAAGGAAAATGCATTTAGTTCTCCAAGGCAAGTGGCAAATATTTAAGGCCATAACTGTGCAGAGGATGAACACTGCTGAGGGCTGGCTGCTGCTCTGCAAACAGAAGCCAGAGTCTGCTGTGCTACGGCTTTTCACTCTCTATTTCAAGTTTGACCTTCCACAGTTTCATCTTTCTCCCTAAAATCCTCCACACCCTCCCAAACAGCCTTGAATTACTGCATTGGCAAATACTGACATGGAAAGAGCCCATACTGAATTTAATAGACATGGAAACAGGCTAAAAGGAATATGCCCTAAAAGTCGAGGGAAGAGTATCAACTTTTAACTTGTTTGCCTGAATTGAGTGCAAAGCTTTGAGCTTTGCTCTGCAACCTCACTGCTAGATTCAGACACCGGCCAGGGAAGTCATCGAGAAGTCATCGTGCAGCAGTGCTTCTAAAAGACACTTCTTGAAGTACCCTTTGATGCTGCATTGAAGGGTTGAACATATATGAATTCCTTCTCTCCCCTTTGTTTCTCCTAAAGGAAAGTATTTTTGGCTCCACCTAAAATGAGTACCCTTTCATTTTGACACATTTCTATTTCATGTTAAAAGGATCCTGTTTCCTATTCCAAATTTACTTGCAAACTGTGCTCAGACTGTCTCTCTGTGCTGCATATGAAGAAACTCCTCAGAAAACAGTGATCATTCCCAACTTCCGCATGTGCTGATACAACTCTTTCCAAAAAGGCGTTGGAAGCAGGTGGTCCTGTACACTACCTAAAGAGATGCAGCAGCCAAAGTGGAGGAGACATAAAACACGCCTGTAAGCAGTGGAGTCCTGCAAATCAGAAGCTGCATTCAAAAAACGTTCTGTCATTTTCTGAAAACAGATGCTAACCCCAATAAATGGCCTCAGCTTGTTCCCTTCTGTTTTACTGGTGGCAAACAATCCTCTGGCGTAATTGTACCAGCAGACTCAATGAAACAGGCTCGAGGGCCTTAAGCAACATCCCAGATGGCTCATGGTTTTGGCCTTGAGATACAAAACATGTAATGGTTTTAAACAAACACTACGATGATCAAATTTTATCTTTGTTCTGTGCTTGAGGGATAGAAGGGATCCATTGGCTTCCTTCATCAGTTTGAGCAGTTGTCCCACCTGTTAAGCTTGGCAAGTCTGACATGTACCCAGCACAGTTCTCCATGTGTACCATGAAATTCTTCTCTCCCCTGCCTTGGAACAGCTTTTGCAATTCATTAACCCAGCCTGATGAGCTCTGATGGTCGAGCTTTACCTCAGGACATAGGAAGGCCTCAACAAGCACGGGTAGCTCACGGAGCTTGCAAATTCAACCGCATCTTTCTAAAGGCAAGAAGGAAAAACATGCTATGAACAAGAAAACATTTTCAAGTCATATCCAAAATGTCAACTCCAGCTGCATTTGCACTTTACTATCAATAAAGATTCTAGGGGAGGGGGGGGAAGAATAAAATCAGGAGACTACAGCCTGGGCTGAACTGGTTACACCCCTTCTGTATTCCAGAGTGGTCCTCCTCACACGCTCCCTTGTCCAGACAGTTTCACCATGGAAAAAAATGGTGCTGTCAAATCTCTGTTCCTCTGCAATCTCCACCTGCTAGCACAGTTTTCAAGGCCAGTAGGACAGAGTAACCTAGCAGCACCTCTATCTTTTGTTGGATATATTCCTCATACTTTGTGGGGAAGATTTAAAGATGCTTTCCTGCCAATTTCCATCCATCCCCATGAAGCACAGCTCAGCAGAAAGACCTGAGCTATAGCAGGGATCAAGAAGTACATGCACCCTGGCAGTTTAAAAACTGCCAAATGTTAAGCATCTTCAGAATCTCAACATTTATCAGCAAGTCAGTCCCCCTGTGGAGATGCTCATAAAAACCTGGAGCCACTTTATCATCTCCCAGCTGCACATGCCCAACCTACCAGGGTGCTGACTGCCTTCCAGGGGGCCTGTGCCACGTGCAGCTCGTCCAGGACAGCCGAGAACACGGCACGATCTTCTGCCCGGTCAATCTGCAAAGGATTTGTGCCAAGCACCTTCACTCCGCTCCGGTACAACGGCACGGCCAAGTTATTGGGAATCTGCCCACCTACGGAGATGATGCAGCCACTGCATCCCTGTTGGCGAAGAGGAAGTTGCACAGTCACATTCAGTCTTACTGAACATTAAGAGCAGTTATAACTAAGGATACAATGTTTAGATTACATCACTTTCCAGTTCCTATGAGTAAAGGCAGATCATACGTATGCTGACCCAGAGATACCCAGGCAGGAAAGCATGACACAGCGTGTATCCTCCCTTAAAAAAAAGGGAAAAAAGGAATAAAAACAGACCCAGCATCCCAACATCCTGCTTGATATGTCTCGGCACACAGCAGGAGCTCGAATTTTAATTCCCTCAGAAGCTGCAGGTGCCTGCAGAGTCCATGTGCCTTTGGATGTTAAGCCAAGAGTTTAGCACTGCTGTAAGAACCACTGACTGTTACCTTGCTTTCAGTTCGTGGTTAGCTGCTGCTGCTTTCCCTGTGAGGATAAGCCTTGGACTGCCAGGAGCTCCCTAGCTTTGCAACTATGCCAACAAAATGCAAAACTCCCCTTTCCTGGCCAGCTGCCCCCGCACCAGCTCCTTACATGCAGACCTGGGGACTATCCCTTCAGCGAGGCTGCTCCCAACTCCCCGTGGAGACTCCGACACAACAGCACCAACAAACAAGGTGTTTTCTGCCCTTTCTCCCTCAGCCCAGCTCTTCAGAGAAAACAGCCTGCAGCACAATCCCGCAGAAGGGCAATGGAAAACAACTAGAAACAGCCATTTCTTTCCTCCAGCACAGGTATTTGCTAAGCAAACATCCTCCCCAGCCCTAGAAGCCAATCCCCAAGGAGCGCTCGCTGCTGTCCCTGCCCTGGCCCATAGGAACCAAGGCAGCAGAGCCCGATCTGCCCAACAGCCTGGGATGCTGAATGATTCTGGATATGTTTAGCCATTTATTCCCATTGCTCCTTATTATTCCTGACTCGCTCCTTGGGGTAGTTACAAGTATGCAGCCCCAAAAGCATATTTCACACTTAAGACTGGGTAACTAGAGCATTTTAACCAAGGAAATAATAAGCAGTATAAAATAAAAAGGCAGGGTGAGCTCGCTTGCAAATACATCCTTTTCCAGGTGCAAATACAGTATTTTTTTTTCTCCACAGATCTCTTCTATGGCTTTCAAGTTCAAAAGAGGCTGGCATAAAATTTTTCACCAGTAAGAGTAACAGGCCTCAGAGTACTTGCAACAATGATGACTATTTGAATTACTTCTACATCATCTAATAATTCAACGTAATTAAATAATGGCCATTTTACTTCCAAATTAAAGTTGGTGAAACTTTGCCCAGAGGAGGAGTCAGGCCCACAGCAATGCTGTGCTGAAGGGCTCTTCTCAACCTAGAGATTCTCATCTCCAGCAAATGAGATGCAGAAATCAAACACCCAACACACAGGTCAGCCCCGTTTTGCCTCTAACTTTCTAGAGTATCAATGCTCTCTTAATTAAGAAATGTCCTTTTCCTGATGAAGGTCAACACCACTGGCCTACCTGGAAAAAAAAAGGAGCTTCTTAATGATGGATTTGAAGAGATTTGGAGTGAAAGACTTGTAAGCTGTGAGCAGGATGGACTAGAAGCGACACAGGGGAAAAAAAAAAAAAGAAGAAAAACAGATGATAAATGTTAATACAAGCCCAGCTTAACTTTAATGTGGGTACTTTCCTACCATAATACAGATCCTCTACAAAAGCCTGGTATTTAAGCAGTGCTTATTATCCCGTGGATGACAAGATCACTGGTGTGCCCAAAGTGCCAGCGCTGCAGATGGGCTTTTCTGCTTCTCCACTTTGCCCAGGGAGCGATGGGTCCTGCGCACGTCTCGGCATCAGGGCTGCCTTAACCCAGCCTAAAGGCATTCTAACCTCTGGCTTTCCAGCTTTCTGATTCTTCTTCTCTTCCTTCAAGGCAGTTCCAGTCACTGAGCCTGTAAAATCAAAATGCTGCTTGCATCCAAAGTTGGGATGGTATTAGGGAATCCAGCCCCTTGAAGGGTCCAACTCAGAGGGGACAACTTAGAGGAAAGACTCAGGATACTCATTTTTACTCAGAAAGGGCCATAAATTGAAACTCAGTTTCCAGCCTGAATTCCTACAGCTGTGCTGTACTTCCCAAGCAACACTTTCCCCTAAAAACCAGTGCTGCTCCACTAGGAGCAGGACAGCACCACGGAGCAGGCAGACAGGGACACACTCTGCTACGTCACACTTTGCCATCAGCCACACCAACTATAAAGAAAATCAATGTCTTTGCCAGTGTATATTTTTTTTTTAAATATACATTGTACATAATCCAGTGAAAGCTAAAGAGAATTATTTTCCACTTTATAATAATGTTCTTTTTATTACTACCTTCCTTCTATACCATTAGTAATAGAGCTGTTTTTCCTTTTTCTCCCCAAGTTTGGAAACAAATTGGACCATTAAAACTATACCTAAGAGCCTCCTTTAGTTTTATGAATCACAGCAGATATTGAAAAAGGATCAGAAGAGACCCTCAAGCAGAAAGATATTAAAATTAAAAGGGAACATCTCCTTTGGAAGCAAAAAACAAATAAATCTGAGGGAAAGAATTTTATTTTTTTTAATTACCGTCCCCATGGAACGCCACCCAACTCTGCACAGTTCTGCAGAGCTGCAAACGTGAGCTGGAAAGGGAGATGTAAAGGGAGATGAGGGAAGGGAAGAGGGAGACAGCTGAGCATCTCACTGGGGTAGGACCATGAAACACTTCCCACAGTCTTCCTAGCAAACTTGCTCCTTAGCACAGCTTAATTTGTCTGATCAGAATCCGGGACAAGTGAGTACCCTGATTAAGCTAAGTTTAATAGCTGCTTACGGTTTGATGCTAGTCCTAGCAATGCTTTGGGAGCTGATGTACAAACTATGCCTCCTGCAGGCAAAGGGCTCTGTGCCTCTCTTGCCCATGATTTGACTTACGCTTTGCCACTGCCCCAGCACTTCTCAAAGGATTTGTCCCACTGACACTGGTCGCTGCACCTTGAAAATTTACAAGACTGGGCTGAAAACAGGGCACGATTTCGTCTTACATTAAGCTGGGAGAGAAGGTACTTGCAGGATCAGCAATCAGAAGCTCAGTTTAGCTTGGCTGTATCCTTAGGGACTGACTTCCATCCGCATTTTCCTGAGAAAGGATTCTGTTAACAAGATATTAGGGTTTGCCTCGCTCATTTGAAAACAAAACAAGAAAAACACACAGAGTAAATGAATCATTTTGACCTGTATTCTCCTGGAGATCTGGGATCTGTCCCCAGGCCTTTCACCTGACTCTCTGCAGTCTCTCCACCCCTCAGAGGCTCAGTTTCCACATCTGCACATTTGGTATAATGACACTGCTCCATCTCACCACTGCCTATAAGTGCTACAAAGCAGCCGAACAGCCGTTGTTCTTCTTGACTTGCACTATGCAGCACAACTTTAGCTGCTTCAATTCAGATCCTAACGGATTCAACACCAATGGAGCCAACAACGTTGACTTGTTGGCTTTCACTGGCACCCAAACCTTTGCTGCAAGCCCCGACACGTCCCCTCTTGCTGTTTTTCTCTCCCCCCAGCATGCTAACAGCGCGCCCAGAACCATTAGCAGGGGTCAGCTCATGAGCACGGCTGCCGTAATTGCCAGCACATCCTTCCCGTTCAGCTCCAGGGAGCCGAGAAAGCTGCTCTTAGACCTTGAGGCCTGCAACGCCTCCCAGCATCAGCAAGGCCAGAATATGGACTTAGAAATGTGACCTTCCACTCACCAAGCACTGCTCTCACAAGCAGCACGACCCAGGCTTCAATCCACACGCATTATTCTTTACACGTATTTTTCTTGCCCAACTTGCTAATTACGAGCACTATGTTTTAAAAATGAGTAGTTGCTCCCTCATCACCTATCGCTACCTCGTCTTTGATCCTGCAGTAATTAGATGCTGTGTTTCATCAGTGTTATTTCTCTGGCAGGCTCGCACACGAATTTCCTCCACGCCCCAAGTTCACAAGTTCAGGTTTGTTCAAGTAAACAAGAGCTCAATGTTATAGGGCTGAACCTCATGGAAAATGCCAAAGCATCTGAAAATCAGCCTCTAAGATCCCTGCAAGCTGTCAGTCTTATCCTGTCTTAAATCTATGATTTTAAATAAGACTCTGTTTTCATGAAAAATTAAAAAGGATGTGAAAAGGATGCAAAACCAAGGAAGTATGATGATACAATCTGAAAATGGTCCCAAGACAGTGTTCTGCAAGTGGCTGTCAAGAGCCAGGCTTAGAGAACAGGACCCAAGTTTTGAAGGGCTTTTTGCATTGTTCCCAATTTGGGAATGACCAAAATGTAGCCAAGTTACAAAACCATTTTAGAAGCATGCTCACATTTAGCAAGAACAAAATCTCCAAGTGTCATCACTCAAGAAAAGAGCCAAGAAGAACCAAAAGCTTAAGATGACCTAGGTTCTGCAAAGTCACTTCATCAAGTTATACAGGCAACTCCCACTGGATTTCAAGGGTGGTGAAGCACCTGTAAACATCTCAGTCTCAGCCACAGCATCCTGAGCGCATTACTACAGAGAAACCAAAGCTTCCTGTACAAGAACAAATTGTTTCCATCATAAATGCTCTCATTACCAAATCTGCCTGGGATTCCTCTCTTTCTTAGTACGAGCTCTGAGCTCTTGGAAATCCCCAACAGGCACCTGCAATACCCGGATCAGGAACATTTCATGGTTTGATGGTGATTCCAGGGGCCTGTTCTACTGTACTGCAAGGCCCAGGACTACAGGCTCGTAAGCACAAGCTGGTGATATGTGCCTAAGCTGTTCTACTTGCTTCAGGGGAAGTACTTGTGCCTCAAGTCAAGGATATGCTCAAGTGCTGAAGCTCAGCCCCACAAGGGCAGAACAATTTGTGCGATAAATGACTGTGCAGCAAATTAAATCTGCTTGTAAATATTGCACAATATGGCATCTTGCAAAATAATTTAATATTTATTTGGCATTCATTATTGAGCAGTCTGCTAGGAACATCAACGATGTGTAAAATGCAACATCGGGCTCCAAACTAAACAGCTTTAGCTAGCGAGCTCTCCCCCCCGCGCCCCCAGGTGCTCTGCCAAAGCAAGCTGCTGATGTGAATTTTGAAGAGTTTGGGTCTGCTTCACGGCTTTCTGTTGCTGCTACTGCTTTTGTTTACCTCGTGCTGGTAGATGTCCAGGATCCTTTCCAAAGACAGCTCTTCAAAGTACAGTCTGTCACACTCATCAAAATCCGTGCTCACCGTCTCCGGGTTGCAGTTCACCACGACGGCCTTGCTGCCAAGCTGCCGCAGCGTGCGGATGCTGGAGACAGCGCACCAGTCAAACTCCACGCTGCTGCCTGCCAGGGCACACACACAGGGAGCATGTGGGGAAGAAACACAAACAAATGCTCTTAGCATTCAAGCTTAAGACCCAAAAAACACCCACACAACACAGCATCTGTCACCTGAGAGGGAGAAACCTAATTGTGTTCCCGTGGAAGTTGAACACCCAAAAGCGTGAGCAGGGGAGGGAGGACTCAGGATCACACGGTGTTCTAATCCAGACCAGCTAGTGCCCTATGAATTTCTATGCTCAAAGATCTAAGGAAGCTACCCTCAGAGAATGATGCATATTTAAAAGAGCATCATTAAAAGGTTATGCTTACAAAACCTTGACCTCATCATGATGTATTCACAGTCATTACATGATAGTATTGAGATCCATATTTTCATATGTAATTGTGTTGTAAGATAGGTCGGATTTTCAGACTGTGCTGAACTGCTGTCTCCACAACAGCTGGTAACGAGCAGGCAGCTGCCACAGGTCACCCACTGTCAGGCACACGGTTTACTTCCCTACACCTGCAAATACCCCATTATTCGGGAGCTCTTATATGCATATGAAGCCTCAAATCTGGGACACGAAAGGTCATCCAGAGTCCCCATCTGCCTGCTTTGGATGCTACCCAGGAAAACAGCACGTGTACTCCCACCACATCAACAATCTCATGTCCAAAGAAAAGTAAGGAGGAAGGCAGCAAACAATTAGATGAGCCGGTAACAACTGCTGCGAGCTGGGCAGAGCCTGCCCCGGGAAGGTGATCACTACTTCAGCACACGTGGCTCTGAACTCCCTTTCAGGCTGCAGCCACGTCAGATGGGCGCACACCGTGCGCAGCTCGTCCACGCGTGCACTGGAGCAGGTCACCAAGGCACCTTTGTCTTTCAACACTGACTTTCACAGAAGCAAAACCCAAGCAGGGGAGCCCTCTCCCAGCTCAGCATCAAGCCCCACAGCAGCAGTGAGGAGCAAACGCTGCCTTGCAGGCTGACCAAGAGCCCCGACACTCAGAGGCTGCACTGAGCTACAATTACAGTGCTGAAAGCGCAAGCAAAAAGCACATACTTCCTTTCCAAGAATAATAAAATAAAAAAATATCAACTTGGCTATTGCATCTGGGAAACATCTTTCAGATGGTACTAAACAGGAACTATTTTTTTCCATTAGCTCGCTTTCTTTAGTTACAGTCTTCTCCCAGATCAAGGTCAGACCTATATATTTAAGTCTATATTATCAGCAGTTTCAAGTGAAGAGTGCAAAGTGTTTTCACCCACATTCAAATTATTCAATATCACTGCCATCCCTTTTATATACAGTTTTTGCAACTGTCCTACACAGCGTGTCGACAATCAGCAGCATTTACAGAAAACAGCATCATCTTGGAGCGTTCCTCCTGGTATCATTCATCTCAAGATTCCTATTGGAAGCAGAGTTCAAAAAGACACCTCCTACAATCAGCAACAGCAGTGAAGCGCGTGACCTGTCTGTCCAAGCAAAATGAATGCATGCAGTTTACATTTCAGCTATTGAAAACCATCACCAGTGCTTCTGAGACACAGAGCAAAAATATTTCTGAATGACAGGTTTTTTTTTTCCCTCCTTAATAATTACAAGCTCTCTGGAAAGGATTCACAAAATGAAAAAGTCATCATACAAAGAACTCAGCACAATCTGTCTACCCAGTTCCCATAGCCACAAAAAAATTCTGATGCTGCAGAATTGTTTAAGTGTGTTGAAAAAACAGCACACAATTGTTTATACAAAATTAGCTGAAGACATCCAAGTATCATCATAAACATATATGCTTACAAGTAATAAAACAGACAGCACGTAACAGTCATGAGCTGGCACTACGAAGCTCAACTGAATACGGCTGCGGCAGCAATGAACTTCCATAACAAAGTGCCAGATTCCTAAAAGCTTTAAGATATATATATTTAAAACAAGCGTTATGTTTTACAAACAAAAGAAAAAAATGCACATTCCCAGTGGTAGTCATGACTAGGTGATGTGCTCTCCAGTTTCAAGTGAAAAGTAATAGAGAGTCTCCTATTTTTCCAGGGCGTGAAATGAAGTCCCCAAGCAAGTGTAAAAGACAAAGCTTGTGGTAGGAATTGATGTCCTGTGCACTGTGCTCTGGAGGCACCACATGAGAAGAGGAACAAATGAACCACAAGAATATCCAGAAAGGCTCAAGGGTGCAAGGAGGACAGAGGAGTCGTAAGAAAGATTTACCTATGTGATACGGTCCACAGCCCAACACCATCACTCCACGGTCATCAAATTTTACATCATGTTCCTGAGAAGGGAGGGAGAGAAGCCATTAGGATGTGTACTCAGCAGCACTTCACTCTATGCCTCTGAGAACAAACAATTTCTTGTGCTCAGCCCACATCTAAGAGTCTGATCCTTCAGGGCTTGAGTCTGATCTCATTTACTGCTGTGTAAATCAGGTGCAACTCCACCGGGATTAATGGTCCTGCACCTAAACAAGAGGAGACCCAGCACCACTTATTTGACTGGTCTTACCTACTCCAGCAGCCTGGGGAACTGCGCATTTCCTAGAAAAAGGAATGCTAGGAAGGAATGATGCACAACTGCTACAGAGACATCTGCAAGGTCTCCAGAAATAACGTGACAGAGGGGGAAGAAATCAAAGCAGACAGCAAGACAGCACTAAGACTGGTGTTTCAAATACCTGCCCGTTGTACGTGACGTAGAGGTAATTAGTTAGCGCGGCGTATTCTGCTGCCAGTGTGTCGATCTGTGACAAGGAAGGAGAGGAGGGTTTGTTACCTGGACAATAAGTAATTTCCCTTACAGTTGCTCTTCCCACCCTCATCCCCTTCCTTTCTGTTTTATGTTTTGCCATCATGTCTTTCCTCAATAGAGATGACCTGAATCATGATGTGCTGGCAAAGCAGCAAAAGGGGAGTCTCCCTCACTGCCTGGCCTTTCCCCTGAACAGGCCTGCCTGTTCAGCTGGCAGGAGGTTTCACCTCCACAGCTCAGTCTTCTTCCATCCACCTCTTCCTCCCTCAGCCCCATTCTCTAGTTACTTGGACAGCATTAATTACACACATCATCTTTCCTCCAGCTCTCCTGAATCCCTCAGCTGCAACATGTGGGTTCTTCATCCTATTCTCCTGACCCCATCTTAATCCCTCACTGAGTACAAGCACACAGGCAATTATCCCTTAGTGATCATCTGGAGCAGTAGCACACGAAGCACTCTATTTATGCTGTCATAAATCTCTTGCTTTGATAACTAAATGGCACACAAGCCATGAGTGGGTTTTCCACCACTCCTTACATGTACTTTTCAGCAACTTTTCTTAAGTAAAGAGTCACCAGAGAGCCCAGAAGAATAATTTCCCAACCAGGCTGTTCATAAACTGCATGTGTCAACTTCTTATTACATGCTATACATGGTAACTAGTTCATCTAGGTCACGAGCAACTGCTAAAGCTCCCTGAAGGAAGAGCTCAAACATTCCCACATAGAATCCTGAACACTATCAGAGCAGTCCTGTCAGGAACTTCTACATCCTACAACTGAAAAAATCTTTCTGCTCTCCAAGTATTTCACAAATCCCCACTGGTTGTCCGAATCCTTGTGAGCAATGAAGACTGTGACCTTACGTCACTAGCACTACACAAGAGCGTGCTGCTCATTACTGCTGCTATTACTGAGACTTGTACTTCAGGGCTCAAAAAGAACCATCTGCTGCGGTGCCACAAACACAGGCATTAGCAGAACGACCTTACTAAAGAACCTGTGGCTCACAAATCACTTCAGCGCTGCAGGGCCATACGCACTTATAAAAAACATAGTGCAAAAGCAGTCCCAGTTCTGTAGGGCCGTGGGAGGAAAAGAGCAGCTGTGAGCAGGAGCAGATCTGGCATCTGGAGGCCTGAGGGCGCAGATGGGTCTTTCAGAAACATTCACTCGTTTGGAGAGGGTTCCCCCCAGCCTTTAGGGACAAAAACAGCTGGTGACACTTTAATATCAACATCCCTTAAACTGCAGCGACAGAAGACCTAGCAAAGCACTTGTGGCCCGTCCTGAATTCAAGATGAGCTCATTATGCTCGCTGCTATCACAGTGAACAGCAAACCTGCCCCTAACAATGGGACATTTCCCATGAAGTGCCACCCTGTGAAAAGTTACTACCAAGGAAAAAGACATACTGTGCTTTGCATGGTCACAAAGTTGCGGGCCACCACCAGGCTTCTCAGCCTTTCTGAAGCCAGAGAGATGTGTCCATCTCACCAAACACAAAATGAGCAAGAATATTTTACATCCTTCTTCAGGGATGTTCAGTCTATAGGTTCATGCCACTGCACTGATGGCTGCGGCGAGGATTTAACAGCAAGGCAGATGAAATTTTGCATTCTCTGATGTTTGCATCAACATCAAAATTGACGTTGCTGGTAACACAGGCAGGTTTTCGCCTTCATTTACCTTTACCTTTCCTGACAGCGCAGCAATCTCCTGGCCATGGCACCCCTAGAAGCCCCCTCACCAGCAGCGTTTCTCACAGTACCTGCTTCACCCAAGGCACTATGTTCTTCCTCAGCCTCAGCTCCCGGCTCTGGACTTCGGTCAGCCCCAGGCACTTCCCAATCTGCCTGTCCGAGAAGCCCATCTGCTTGGCTCTCCTCAGTGTCTCTTCTGGAACAGCTTCACTGGGTTTAAATACAGAAAACTAGGTTAGTTTGACAGCACAAGCCTGAATACATGTGTGTGCTCATGCCTTCCACACTGCATGAGGGGCTCCTGCTGTAGGAACGTGGGTGTAAAGGGAAGCGGACCCCTGAGCCATCCTCATCCAGTACAAAACAGACCTCCGAACGTATGTCCCATAGGCTAGATAAAGCCTATAGGGACACCTGTGCTGTTGGGACGTGCAACGTTTTTTTCACCACATTCCTGAGATACTGAAGTGACTCACGATGGGGCTCCCCCAGGCAGTACCTCCCACTGGGCTGGTACAAGCCCCACACACCCACAGCATCCATACCGTCATATGCCAGTAAGTACATAAACCATGTACCATACATATACCATACACCTTGCTTCATTTTGGTTGGACTCCACATAGAGCCCAGATAGTTTCTGCCCGTCTGTTTCTAAGCTACCTTTTCCAAGCTCAGCTTTTGCAAAAACATAAAAAAGCCCATGTATTTTTATCAGCCCTTCTGCTTTTCATCTTCATGGCCAAAAGCATCATTGCCTGCCCAATAAATCAATATTTTATGAGCAAGCAAGCTCTGAATCAGGAAAAAGGAAACGATTAACAAAGAGGCTATTTTCCTAAATCAGAGCTTTTGAATTATGTCCTTTGCTTGGTGGTATTTTTAAATAAATAGCATTATGTTATTTGAGTGGAAAGGGAGTGGTAAGGCTGCTTTACTGCAGTGTGTCAGGAAGCTGAAGCATGAAAGAGAATCACTGGGTTGGGTTTTCTGCTCTGCTTCAGGTGCAGAGCAGCTCTATGCGCTCCATAAGGTCAGGTTGGTGCAAGACAGGGAAAAGCCACTGGGAAAAGCAAAGCAGCTACTGGAATGGCAGGACTGGGAACATGAAACCTCTGGGCCCCAATCACAGGTGGGTTTCCCTCCAAGACCTCCCTCCTGCCACATCTCCCTCCCCTGCAGCACAAGCCCATGAAGCTCTCCCTGCCTACAAGAAAGGAGCAGCCTTGGATGTGGTTCCAGGTGCAGAAAGACTTCCCCAAATCAGAGCTGCTTTGCAGCATCCCAACAGCTGCTTTAAAGCTGCTCTTTCCCTGGGCCTGCTCTCCTGTCACAGAGCTGCTTATCCAGAGAGAATCCTTTCGACTTTCTGATTTCAGCCCCAGGGCAGGGACTCCCTGTGTGAACTGTGGATGCCAGAACTGAAGGCAGGAGGACTTTACAGCAGCAAGGGAGCAAGCAGAACCTGCAGATTCCCTCACAAAACAGCTGTTAGGCCTCGCCAGCAATTAGAAAGGACACGGCCACATTACCCTTCCCTCCCAGGTTCTGCGCCGCAGAAGAACAAGCGAGCAGACCCAGTGACCGCGGGCAAACGAGTCTATGCTGGAGCATTTGTGCTGCCTCCCGCAGGCACCCGCGCAGCGAGCTGCGATTCGACTGCTGACACACAAAGAGCACTGCCTTCCCTCGGGGCCTGCTTCAATTCCACTGCTTGTATCCCATAACAACACCATCCATCGTCATTTCCAGCACCTCGCCCTGCAGGAGGAGTGGACAAGAACCAGTGATTTGATATGTGATTCAGTGGCCTCGGGCTAGCGGCCCGGACGGGGTTAGGACACTTATCACTCCACACAAAGGTAACTGATTTTGTGCAGGGCAAGCAGTGAGCACCCAAGGGGGAAATGAAACAGTCCTCCCTCCTCCACAGCTCCCCAGGCATCGCAAGCAAACATGACGTGAGACTTGCAACGTGGTGGCTACGGCAGACACCGGGGAGCGTCTGCTCGGGCAGCACAGAGTGAGTCAGAGACATGGTGAGGATTAAGGCTCAGCATTAACCAGCTTTGGTCCCCCTGGCTTCGCTCAAAGTTGGCCCTTCAGATTTGCTATAGACACTGAAGGCAGCAAGAGCAGAATCACCCTGCCGGAGCCCGAGTGTAAACGACCTCTCCAAGGTCTCCAGCAGTCAAGCTCTAAAAAGAGCTGCCTTCACCTTGGGCTCTTCCCCAACACATGACCCACTCCCACACCACTGCCCTCCCACCTTCCCTGTGGCATCACTTACCCTCCACACATTGAGCAAAAAATGCTTGCAAAGACAAACTAATGCATTTGTAAGCAGGGTCCACCCCAAAGGAGGATTAGGAGGCTCCAGACTCTGCTAAAACACCAGCGTTTCCCAACAGTCACCTTTGCCATACAACACTCACAAGTCTTAAGACCTTTGGAACCAGCCAGCCAGACCTTTCCACACATCCCCACTTAGTGGCTGTGCATCTCCCCAGGACACTGCGTTCCCAGCACCTTTTGCAGCTGACAAATGGCACAAGTGTCGCTCATGCCTTCTCCGCAGCTTCCAGCATCAATTTGCTGTTGCTTCTTGTTCAAAAATTCCACCCTGCCACCTCAGAAACTCCACCCACTCCCATCCCTTCTTCAATAACATCACTATAAGGAAACTGAATAACTTCCCCTTAATGAGGAAATTTTCACCTGGCACAAAGGACCTGGGGAAATCTATTAAGTGCCTGAGAGAAGGCTGGCAGCATCGCAGTCACCAGGAGGGCCTGCTCGCTCCGCAGCAGCCCTCTCTTCCACTCTGCTGGCTTCCATCTGATCCACCACGTTAGCAGTGATGCTAAATAAAGGCGTCAGCAGAAAAACCCGGCTCTATGCGAGTCAACACCTCCCTGGCTCCCCAGTCTGGCCCTGCTTTGTGCTAACTAGGCTGTCATCAAGTTCATGCCTGCCCTGTGCATTGCTTAGGCACATCTTAACAGGCTTATATCACATAGACCAGGAATATTTGGGGAACTGGCCAAAGCACCTGAGCTGGGAGCATTTATTACCCTGTGAACCCACAGGTCCAGCCCTGGACCCTGCAGACAGCTCAGGCTATCTCAGCAACTGCTCATGGGGGATTTGGAAAGCATCACCACCTCAGTCCACCCTTGAGGCTCTTCCTCAATATGCAGGGGGTGGCCTCAAGCCCCAACTAAAGCTTGGCCATACTGACAGCAAAGTGGACAGAAGCAAGCGCTGCTAGAGTGAGAAATCCTAACATCTCCCCAGAGCCTTCCCTTCTCCAACCCTGTGGAAGGGTCACAGTCAGGAGCATTGTCTCAAGGCTGCCGGTGTTCAGGCTGGGTTCTGTGCAGAGACACAGCATCTGTGCCTCTTCTGTGCCTCTTTCACTCACCAACCTCCCTGCTTCAAGGCTCCTACTGGCTTCCTTGATTGCTTCTGACATTCCACAAGATTTTGAACACGCTGCAATTAAAATAATGAGATCAGCGTATAAAATCTCTCCCTGCATCTCTTCTCAAGGAAGCAGATTGTTATCGTTCTTCCCCTCCTGAGAAGCTCATGAGATGACTGACAAAAAGCTATCTAAGGGGCAGTTAGGGAAGCAGGAGCTGTAAACCAACACCTCTTGCTCACTGAACAACCAACACTCTAGTGCTCTGCATCTTTAAAGGACTAAGGCCCACAGGCCAATCAACTTCATCATGGAGATTTTACATAACATGAAGCTCATATTACTTCCTAAAACCTGAAGGACTTGCACCTAGAATCAAGCAATGTACTGAAGGGAAAGCTCAAGCCAAAGCACAGCCAAGGACAGGCCATATACGCTCTTTGCTATCCTGATAAAGGACGGTCTGAGGTTTTGACAGGATATCCAACACGTGCAAGTCTAGAGCAGAGCCTCCCCAACCACACGAAGGGCAAACCTGTATGCCATGCCTATCAAGAGAAAGAAAAAAAAAATGCAGAGTGAAGTTTAACAAATACACAGACACTTTGAAGGAAAACACAGTGATGAAATTACCACCCACACCTCTGTAAGACAAAGGATTCTAAGTCAGATCCACACAAAGCACAAGCAATTCTGCTATATAACTTCTTATATTACATTCTCCTCTCATGTACTGAATTCCTAATTTGAGTCTGAGTCTTCCCTGCCCTCTGGGTCACTCAGGAGACACATGTAATCTTCCCAGGTTGTTAGAAGTGAGCACAACAAACATGTCAGCGACAGCTCCTCAAACAGCATAAATCAGCACAGCCCTAGTTAGCATTGCTGGAGCTGCTCTGCTTTCTATCCAGGCAAGATGTGACCTCTGCTTGCTGACCTGCCCCCAGAGCACACAAGTCAGCAGAAAAGCTGCTTTTGAAGGGAGCAAGACTGCAATACCCACCTTGGAGAAACACAGTTATTGATGGCCTGCCTCATCTTTCCTTCCTCCAGTGCTCCACAGGTCACCCGCTGGAGGAAAGTTTTACTTCCAGCACCTGCCCTTCTGTAGTGGTTCCACCACAGCCATGGCAGAGACCATCAACCTCACTACCAGGCTCTGCAACAGATCCAGTGGGTCAAAGTCAAGAACTCTTGGCAGGGCTGGAACTCCAACTGCAACCCAAACCTTGCTGTAAAGCTCCCCAAATCCCACTAGGGGACAAAAAGAAAGGGATGGGTTTTATCTATTTGCAAGTGAGCCTGTAGCCAAGAGCAGTGCTTCAGAACAGGGCAAATGCTTTGCGTTACAGTGACTATATTCCAACAGCAAAAAGATTCAATGCAAGGAGTGTGTCACAGCCCATTCTTTTCAATTGGAAATAATCCCGCAGCACAGGTACAGCTCATGTCAGGGACTGGAAACAGCTGGCTGCAGGAAGGGCACACACGTGCCAAGTCTCATTTGCAGCACTCAATTAGCTTTCCCATGGGCACTGCGGAGATGTGTTGCCTGATGTGGCTCATTGGACTAGTGTCTTTCTTCAGGTCAGAAGTGCCTTCCCCCAGCTTCCTCTTGCTGCCAACGTGCCTTCAACGTAATGTATCCGGACAGTCCATCCCCTCCTTCCCATGCAGGTTACGCTCCCTCCTTCCCACACTGGGAGCTGAAACAGTCTCCTTGAGAAGGTCTAAGGAAGGATACTGGAGGGGAAATCTTTCCTGGCTAGTTAATTCACAGCACTGGCACTCAGCCGAATTGTGACTTACACCTCCTGTGCACTGCATCCCCCAGGCGACACACATGCAAGGCTGGGCACTGCTTCCTGCAGCAGGCAGGACTTCAGGTCTACTGTTTACTCACTGGAAGGATGAAAAAGCAACGTGGGATAGGACTAGGTACCAGCCACACTGATAATACTGCTTGCTACCTGTACTGGAGAAGGGGACAACCACCTCAGTGATACAGGGCATTTCAGCAAAATTAGTCTCAGTGAACTGAAGCCAGATTTATACCAGGTGAGGATATGTCCAACATCTGACGCCCAAGGCGTATCATTCCAGAACGTGACATCCAACAATGAGAAAATCCAACCGATTCTGGGTAATTTTTTTTCATGCTCAGGAGCTACATACGTACATATGTATTTTAAAGTACCCAAGAGCACAAAAAATTTGTGCAGCCAAATAGATTTCTGTAAATAACCAAGTTACTCCTCTTCAACATCCTCCCCTACACCTACTTTCATCTAGTTCCCGATTCAGCTTGTTCCAGGGGGTGGGAGAAAGGAGACCAAAAACTGCTCAATTAAAACTGTGCAGCTGGTCAAAGATACAGAAAGCAGCTGATCACCACTAGCTAGCACCCTCATGACAGGCTGGGTACTGTGCGTTTCCAGTGCCATCCTGTGGTAAAATGCAGTTAACACAGTGGGCATCCACAGCACAGAAGCCAACAAGCAGCCAATAACTCAGCAAGGAGGTTCTCCCAACCTCATAAACCATGAGGGGAAAGCTCAAGTCAGCAAGAGGCTGGAACTGAAATACAGCCGAGCACTTTAATTTACTGCTATCTTTTCTGCTTGGGTTTATATGGTCATTTTTCTAAAAAGAAAGCAAAAGATTTATCTTCAAATATGTCTGGAATTATAGGTGTTTGAAAGTGAAGTACAAAAGCGACACATGGTGCATTATCACTGTAAGGCAGAAAAGCTTAAAAATCAATCAGCCATTCCCAAAAATGCACCGTATTTGATTCCCAGGTGTAATAAGTCAGGATAAGTCCTGTGCTCAAAAGCTGCTTCTGTCCTACGAATGCAGCCTGCTGTTACGAGTTGCAGAGCGTCCACATTCCTATTCCCAGCTTCCAAGATGCAGCAAGGATTCTGCAAAATAAAGTCCCAGTTCCATATTCTTTCTGAGCAGCCAAGATGCTTAACCAGCCAAAGTGCTTTTCCCAAGATAAGATTTCCTCTGTCTGGGAACAAACTAAGGTTGAAGACAGCTCTGCAGACACTGCTAATGGAGGAAAACTCTTCGGCACCCACTGTATCTCAGGCCTGCCACAGATCTTCCCAGAAGAAAGATTCCCAGAGAATCACTGTGTCTTAAGACAAAGCTGGGTTTTACTGCTGTTTTTCCCTTACCTGTCCACTTCCTTCAAGATCTTCTCCATGTTCACAATACTGCGCATCTTACAGAGGAACCACTTGCCAATGGCCGTGAGTTTGTGAATGTCATCCACAGGGACGTCATCATCCAAGGCCTGCAAAAGGAGGACAACACCAACCTGTCCCTGAATACATCCTTCAAAAATACGAAGCTAGTTGCAAACAGGCAGTCGTAATTGTATAATACATACACACACACACGTGTATATACAACATACATGTAAGAACTACCACAGACCATAGCGGACACCCCAACGATTCAAAGATTCCAGTCAAACTTCAACTGTTGTCAGCAAGATTTGGTGGCAGGCAAGTATCTGACACAGCTATATACACACAGGCAGATTCTGCTGTGACACCTCCTCCATCTGCACCCATCATCACTAAGGTTTCCAAAAGCTCAGTGTCAGCCTCCTAGCTGCAAAATAGAAAGGCCCAATTTTCTATTCAGGAGAAACTCTTTTGCTTTGGAGCAGAAACCTTGATTTACCCATTTAAAGGACGGCTAAATCAAAACGTGTGGCCCTAGAATACACCTGAAGGGAGAGTCCAGGTCCTGTAGCCATTTCATACCACAGCATAACTCTAGCCTGAGATATAGGGAGACAAGCTAAGGCAGTATAATTTAAATTCCCCTGCATTAGCTTATTGAGGCCATTTATTTTACTTCTGTAATTTTAATTTTTATCAGAACTATTTGCACTAATGGGGTAAAAAAGAGCCCCACAGAGCTACTCAAACAACAACATTGTGCAGAATGCCATGATATCAAAAAAAAAAACCCCGAGAGTGCCCCAAGTTGCAGCTGTTTCTTCTATCACAACACTGAAACTAAACAGTTCTCACCACTGGTTGAATTGCTGCAACTCTCCTGATAAAACAGCCCCAATCAACCAAAAATGATAACACCAGTATCTTTGCTGAGCCCAAGTAATCAGGCTCATTAATTTGCTACCACGCTTAATTGTGTTCTTGCAGGGCAAGCTCCCTGGAAGGAGGTCAGTGCAACAGCACTGCCGGAAGGCAGCAGTAATTCAGGAATGGGCTGGACCTGCTGCACACTGGGATCATTCCTCCAGGTTATCAGGCCATGGACAATGGTCGTATCGTTGTCATATCCCACGTTTGAGCCCTGGAGATGGACGCTTTATGGTAACAGGGAGAAACACCTGGGTCACTTCAGTGCTGCGCTCCCAGAAGACACCAGCCACGTAAGGGATGCGCAGCAGCAGCTTTCCCGTTAGATCCTGCCAACGCTGACAGCACCTCAAAGCCATTTCCACCCTTTCCAGGGGAGTTTCAGGCGACTCACTGGGGCCTCCCTCTCACAGCGAGTCTCTTGCTCAGGGAAATAATAAGCTGTGGACCAAAGCTACTGCCTCCTCACAAAGAGCAGAAACAGCAGGGAAAGTCTCTCATGCACTTTGTTCTGCTACAGGGAACCAGTCATTTCCAGACTGCTTCTTTAGCTAGGAGACCCCACAGGCCTACAAGCCTCCCAGACACAGCAACACAAAGTTCAGGACTGTCACAGCAGTCCCATGAGTAGTGGCACTAAAAAGACCATGTTTTTTTAATAGATTTGCATCTGCACTGTAAATTGCAATTGAAGCTTTGCTTACCACTGCATGCAGTACTGGCACAGGCTTATTCCTATGAGGACTCTCCCATCTCAGCTGGTCAGTGCTTGGAGCAGGAGGTCACACGCAACTTTAGGGGCACATGAGCAGCTTGTCTTACGTGTTTCTTTCTACTGCTGCCTTCCTTTACATACTACAAGGAGTCCCATTACAACAGCAATAGTTCTGAGGGAGAGACACTCTCTTCACCTCAGCCATTACTGGTGGCATCAACACCATCACCAACATCATACAACAGAAAAAGGAAGGGGAAAAAAAGCATAAAAAGCCCTTGAGAGCTGAATAACAGGGGCTGGGGGGGGGTGATATGGGGAATAAGACGTATAATGAAGCTTCATCTTGTTTTAAACAAAGCTCAGAGCTGCTGGTTTTTAAATGTCAGCAAGCAGGACAGGGATTTCCAGGTCAGCCGCGCCAGCTGCTGAGGTTCCCCCTCCTGACACTGCCAAAGCCAGAACAGCAGGGCTTGCCTCGCTTATTAATGGGCATGAATTAGTGCACAGCCGCAGACACAGGCAACTCTTCTCAGGGAGGGATTAAGACCTTGATCTTCCTTTTCTCAATAACTTCCAGTGAAAATGCCAACAGCTGGGAATACCCGGAGTGTTAAGCAGGGCCCAAACTCACCTTCATCTCCTCAGAGCCCCTCTGCTAACAAGGGGCTAAGATTAACCTTTCCGGAAGCCCTCAGAGCCACTTCGGGAGAAGACAAGCAAGATTTTCCCTCTCAGACACAGAAGAAAGCTTTAATAAGCAAGCACAGCTGCTGAGGTGTGTTCTATACTCATGAGCACACGTATCCCCTTGCCTGGTAGGTGAGAATCCACAGCTGGGCAAGGTATATGTTTATGGAGCATCTTGTGTTTTCTGTTTAGGTCATTTTTAAGAGGGACAGAGATGTGAAAATCCTTTTACAAACACAGCACAGCCACAGCTTGCTCTGCTCCAAAGGCACAAGACATTACGAGTGGGAGCTCCCTGCCAGGAGGGCTTATGATCTTTAAGGAACAAGACACACACAGGCTACAAAAGACAATTGTCCCCATCTCTTCATAGAGGGTATGGACAGGTGGACAAATTAGCCACAGGGAAGCCAAGGTGTGAAACTGCATCTATCCTGTAAAGCAGCTAACTCTACAGTTGCCATGAGCTATAGACACAGGCAGGAGCTATGGAGCAGAGGCAAGAAATAATTTTACAGCCCAGCTCCCCTCAGAGTAACACCCACCCTTACCCGGAGGCCTTGAAAGATGAAGTGATTTGCCTAAGGTGACAGGAGATGGCTTAAAAACACTACAGGAAACAAAGTCTATTTCAGACAGGTGGGGATTGAGAACAGGGATGCTAAATTTAAATAGAGGGGGGTTGTTTTGTTTAATGCTCAAGCCAAAGCAATGTGGCAACTGCAAAGAGAAAGTGCCCCTCGGACTGCAGCTTGCCTCTCCTTGGCCTCCTTTGCTTCACTTCTCAAAAGGATCCGTTTTTCCTTCTTCCAAAAACTAATGGAAATCTTCACAAAATTTCACAAAAACAAGTAAAACCAGCAAACCTAATAAAAATCTGAAAAATGAGCTAAATTTGACTGCGGCTCATACTAGGATAAAATAATGGGTAAAGCCCCCAGAAGAAGAAATCTGTATTTCTCCTAGCTTCTAGCTACAGTGTGAGGTGCCATGAGCAGGCATGGAGTGTGCCTGCTGCTCCGCGCAACAAGCGTGGCGTTGTCAGGAAAGCACAGGTGACAACAAGCAGAGGGACACACACTCACACATCCACCCAGCTGTGGCCACTACTGTGTTCTGCAGGGGAAATAACAAGCGGCAGAACACACCTGTACCTCAGCAGCAAGGCTGCTGCTTCACAGGCTGATTCCTGTGTGCAGGAGGGAAAGAAGCAGGGACTCCCTGCCCGCTTTGTGTCGCTCGGTACCTTGGCCATCGCGTAGATCCGAGTGCTGGAGGGCTCCGCTAGCTCCTTCCGGAGGTCGAGGTTGGGCGGCCAGGCTTTTCCCAGGGGCAGGCGCGGGGTGAAGCCATCCACGGAAGGGTGACACATCCGCAGGGCCTTCTGGAAGCTCTCCTCAAAGGTGCGCCCGATGGCCATGACCTGCAAGGAGAGCCCTGCGCGTCACGGGCCACCCAGCCACAGACGGCTGCGGGTCTCGAGCGCAAACACAGAGCAAAGTGGCACACACGGGGGCTGCAGCCTTCAGGGCCCCTCCTCGAGGCAGCCGCGCTGGCTGTGCTGCAGACTGAGCCACAGCAGTCCCCGTTCTAGGTCTGGCTCTGCCCCTAAGCGGCGATGGGGAATTTCAGACAAGCAACTCTGTGCTTTGGTCTCCCCATCTGTAAAATAAAGGAAGTTGCTGCTCTCCTCTGTAAAATGCTCCCAAGAACTTTAGTAGAGGAAAGCATTAAGCAACAGCATGTGTGTAGTAATACAAAAAGACGTTTTTGTTTAACAACCCGTTATAGATGGAAACCCACAGTGGGGATTTTAGCGTTCAGAAGGAGAAATCTGTTCCTTTCCCTTTAAATTACATTTAATGATGATACTCCCCTATGAGGACAGTGTTAAAGATTACTCCTTTCTGGTAGAAAGCAACACTGGAGCCTCCCTCCTTCAAACTTGACACCACAGCTAATCAGAAAACAAGCCTTGCTGTGTGGAAAGCTGTGCAGGAACAGAGCCCTTTTTCAAATTCTTACATTTTTATTTCCCAGGGCAACGTAACCCTAACAGCTTCAAAATCTCAAACAGTGTTGAAAAGTGTCAGGGAAAAAAATAACATTGTTCTCTCTTTTCTCACAGCTCCACTACCCAGCACAACAGAGCGTAGGAGAAAAAAAAACAGGTCAGAGCAGACCATTCAATTAATAAAAATGCAGCAGGCACTGCAATCTGACTTCAGGTGCAGGCCCAGGGGGACTCCTGGGCCATACTAATAGAGATGGAGCTGCAAGGAGCTCCCTGCTTCAGAGATGCCCTGTCCTAGCGATATTAACCTCTTGCTGGCTGCCTCCACCAGAAACGAACTGCAGCTCTTGAGCTTCGCTCCCTCATCACACACCAGCCCAGGGCAGGGATGGAGCAGGACGGTCCAAGTGCTGATTTCTCCTGCATCTCCCCCTCTTCCTTCTAACCAGCTACTGTTGTTGGAAAATAGAGGGGCTTCCTCCAAGCTATGGAGTGGGACGGGGTCCCACACCAGTGATCCATCCCAAGCAGCACAGAGGTTTCATTGCAGGCTGCTGTTGTGATATCCAGCCCCTGGACAGGCAGCAATTGCTCCTGCAAATGCAACAGCCAGGAAGCATTCACAGCTGCTAGTGCCCAAGGCACCTGTATTTGGGAACCCCAGCTCTGCAGAACGTGGTGAGAACCTGTAAGCAGAGACAGGCCATTGAGGGGCTAGAAATCTGCATAAGCATTAAGTCACTGAAAAACACCTTATTGCTATTAAATGTACAAATTGCCGCAGGGAAACCAAGTTCTAATTAATCCTTTCAGCTGTGATGAGGGCTTGTTGTCTGCACAAGGTAGAATTGATGTTAGAGAGGTCTCATATGTCAAAATAATTTCATAGAATAGATACTTGAAAAGCATTAGGGGAAAAAAAGGCAGCCAACAAAACACACATTTAATTATTTTGCACTGGTTGATAATATGTAATTAACTAATCGCATGGATAATTTTGCACCTCCTAAAACTTGGTCTGAAAATGCTATTATTGTCTCAGACACCTTAAAAATGATCAGAGTTTAAAAGTCACACTGCCATGTTCCAGATATGAGACATAATCACCTTTTGAGAGCAGTAAGTCAAACTTCAGAGCAAGATTACATGTTGTGTTTCACTTTCAAGGGCAAAAGTATGCTGAAATTAGGCACACCATTTTAACAGGGACCAAAAATCATGGGAAATGAACATCACTGAAGATCTTAAAACCTGCAGTTCTAAAGCTATACTCTATTTAACCACAGCTGCAGAGCTCCAAACAAAGCATAAATCTGGGAGTCCTTTAGCGCACATTAAGAATGAAATCAACCTCAGGCGATCCAAAGTGGAATTTTTATTCCTTTAAAAAAGGTAACTGTTTATGAATCCATACCATGATGTCCAAGATCAGAATCCTAATGCATTCCAATTGAATATAGAGCTGGGCAAAACTCAGTTGAGCTGAATAAATGTCCTCAAAAGTCAGGTTTCCCAAGCAGTGTGGCTTATTTAAGCCCAGGAAATCAGATATTCTGCAGGTGTCCAAGAAAGAGAAATGACTTTCTCCAGTGATGGAAGGTAAAAGAAAGAGGACAGGTCTCTTACTCACCTCTCCCACACTTTTCATGGAGCTTCCTATCTGGTTGGAGGTACCCTGAAAACGGTCCAGATCCCAGCGGGGTATCTTGGTAACGACGTAATCCAGGCTGGGCTCAAAGCAGGCAGAGGTTTTTCCTGTCACCACGTTCTTGATTTCTGGTAGGGTGATGCCCAAGGCAATTTTGGCAGCGACGAAGGCCAGTGGGTACCTGCCATGGAGAGGAGGTAGAGAAGGGGAGAGAAAAACACCTGAATAGCATGGCTGGTGCTGCAAATGACAAGGAAGCTGCATAATCCTCTGAAATTGCTGTAATGAAATTATCTCCAAAGGTGAATTCTAACAGCCCCCTGTTCCCAGGAGATAGACTGCTAAGCATAGCTCATCTGAGAAACAAGACTGAGGCTTACTAAAAAAATGCATTCTTCATACCCCGAGACTAAAGGCAGGAAAAAGCTGTTAAGAAAAAAAATTAAAAATAAAGCAAGAGCCTTAAGCTGTGGCCCTAAAACCTAAGGTTCAGGACATTTGTTTGATTGCTGGCTTTTGATTTCCTCTCAATGTAGCTTCTTAACCACTCTGCCCTGCTTCCTTACATGTAAAATTAGAACTACAAATGGCTGAGTGGGTTACTTTTTTTTTTTTTTTTTTTAAACATTCTTACGGCCCTGCCAGGCTGGACTACACTTTGCACACAGCAAGGCCCCTGTTTGGTTGTATCCAGTCTACCAACAAGAGGCTAATTGCCAACAGTGCAAAGGACAGACTCATCCTTGAGGAGTCCACAAACCACACGATCCCAGCTGAGACAGAGGCATCTCGCACAGTTCCAGGGTACCAGCAGGAAAAGTGGTAACTGGTCTGTGAAGCTGAGATTGGCCAGGCTGGAGCAGAGGAAATGCAGCGAGTCCCTTGCAGAACTGCCTGTTGTTCTCATTTAGCTAAGTATGTCATTCCTCATAATTTCCAGTTGGCTGCAAAGGCCTCATCAGCAGGCAGACAAGTTACTTTATTCCAGTATAAGGAGGAAAAATCTCGTCTTGAAAAATTACCTACAATATTTCCTACATTTACTTCTTATGCCACGTACTCTTTCATGACCAGTACTGACAGCTGAGCCATTCTGATTATTATAAAGCACATGCTGCAAGAATGAGCAGAATCTGGTAGCACGAGGCACTGCATCAGTGGCATAAGAAACACTCCTCAGGCAAAAGCTGCTTTAACTAGGATACCACAAACATTCCCTTCTCCTCTTCCTCCTTCACTGAAACAAGGTATTTCAGGTAACAGTCACTGGCACAATCTGCAGGGAGTCTTTAGGTCTGTGAATCCAGACGCTGTACTAGATAACAAGCCAAAACCAACATGTTCTTTGGTACCTTCCCTTGCAGAGACAGTTGCTTCTCTCCAGACCCTATTCCTGTATTCCTATCCAAGCCAAGTTCAGTTGCTTAGGCTGCCTCCAGCCATGACAATCCACATGTTACAGCTCTGAGGAAACCCCACTGCTTCCGTCCCACCCAAAGAGAAATCAAGCTCTCAACACCAACTCCTCCGTAGCACAACTAGCTCCAGCACTTCCACCGCTATAAAGACCCTTCTTATTTTTCGAGAATTCCAAGTGTGGGTCAGATTAAACACATGAGGTGACAACCTTCTCAACACCATGGACAGTTGCAATGCTCAAGCACCACAACCCTTGAACATTTCCTACCCTAACTTAGAGGTCCCTACCTGAACCAGCTATCAGCAAAGCTGCTCTTGAAAACACACATTGTGCTGCACCCACAGCAAGCCCATCTAGACACCCAGAGGAACGTTTTGCTGCAAGTCTGTCACCCAAAAGAAAACAACCAAATGCCCACTGTCCACTGGCTCTCGTCTCCAGCCTGCTATTGCACTACAGTCACCACAAGAATTGAGAACTGCAAATTATAGAGATTAATTTGCACCTCTCAACACCATCTGCAAAGCGCAATTAAGAAGCCAATTTCTAAACAGCCTGTTCTGACCACCCTTATCTCGATTAGTTTATGATTAGCCAACAGAACAAAGGCAGCAGGCAATACCATTTGTGTCAGTCTGATAGACAGCTCATTAATAACCGTGTCCTCCAGGTCCCGGAGATGATTTGTGACCAACATACGGATAAACGGGATCCGCTCTGCAAGGACAGTTATTATGCACCCCTGCTTCTTCCTCTCCCCACAAGAGCTCTTTCATTTTCTGCAGTAATAGCATCAGCAGGTGGGAATGGATCTCAAGAGGTCACCAAGCTGTTCCTCCATCTCACAGCAGGACCAGCTCTCCCAAGGTCTTTCCTAGCAGATGCCAAGGTAAACTTTTCTTAGGAACAACCCACGCAGAGCTCCACCCCTGCCTGACACACTCCTCCCTAGCGAGGGCTTCACTCTTCCTTGCTGCAAAATAAACCTGAGCCTCTTTGTCTTAACTGTAGGGAGAGTAGACACAGGAAGGCTTCTTCCTTGCAGCTCCCATTTGCATATTTAAATAATACACTGATTCAAGGCCCTTGCCACAATTCTCCCCTGTGTTTCTTTTCTCTCCCCTCACCCTTTTCTATAAATATATATAATCTTACCCTGTTGCTTTGGATGCCAAAGCTGAACTTCTTGAGAGCCTGGCATTAACTTCAATGACGTAGTAGTCCAGGGAGGTTGGATGCAGCGCGAACTGGACATTGCACTCTCCCACGATGCCCAAATGCCGGACCACCTTGATGGCACGATCCCTCAGCAGCTGAAACTCCTCGTTACTGAGCGTCTGGCTTGGAGCCACTACAACAGAATCCCCTGTTTATCAAAATCGACAAGAGAAGGAAAGAGAAGCCCTTCAGTGACAGTAGGTGCTAGCCACGGAGGTCACTTTCCTTGCTACCCTATTCCCAGCAACAAAGTTAAACTGATGCTCCAATCGTGGGTGCAATGAGGGCACGGATAGAGCCCCAGCACTGGTTTTTGGAGAGGACTGGTTTTCTTGTGGAAAATGAAATCATAATCACAGGTTCAGCCTAGCAAAATCTGCCGTGAAATGTGAAAAAAGAAATGTTAGAACAGCTATTTGTGGTGAGCACCATGCTCCCAAGCCTACCTGTGTGGACTCCCATAGCATCAATGTTTTCCATATTGCAGACAGCAATACAGTTATCGGCAGCATCCCTCACAACTTCATACTCTATCTCCTTCCAGCCAACAACTGACTTTTCCACCAGAATTTGGTTAGTCATCGCAAATGCCTGGGGATATGTTAGAAAAGGAACAGTAAGGAAATCTTATTAGAACATGTTCTCATACACAAACTGCTGTGGCACCTCTCCAGACAACCCCAGACCAGCTCACACACACAAAAAATTAGCAAAGTTTATAGCATCGATGACAAGCACCTTTTAAAAAAAATATGCATTAACTTAATTTGAAAGGCATAGAAAATATTTATGTGATTAGATGGCAGAAAATAGCAGAAAACACATCAAGGCATTTGAGCTTGCAATGGCATATAAATAATGAATAAGAACATAAAAATATCTAAGGCTCCAGTCCTGCAACAGACATACTTGACTTTGTGCATGTGGGTGGACTTCAGGTGAATAACTGCAGAAAGCTAAATGATTGAGCAATGGGAAGTGCCAGAAAACACTGCTTAATTAACAGCACTAATAATGCTGCTTATCACTGGCCTAATAATCAGAAGCAAGACTCATGATTTATTCTTTAACTATTCTTGAAAGTGCTCCTCAGCACAGGAGACAAAAAAAATGAAAAATACAGTTAGTTAATACTCATTTACCAACAAAGTGAATAAATGGCCCTAATATTAGCAGACATAAAGCATTAATCACACTTGCTTAAAATCCTAGCAGGCAACAGGCACATTACCAATCCGTCCTTTACAAAACTTCTCTTTCTTAATGCTGCCCATAAATCAGCCTTCAGCCTCATCTCCCCTGCACAGCCTGCTCAAGCTGCAACCCAGACACTGCTCTTAGCTCAGGTGCTGCACTTGTAAAAAATAAAATAAAATAAAACCCTAAGCTAGAGGAGTGGTGCTTCACACATCCTACCCTCCAGTCCCATTCCTCAAAGAGCAGCTGACTCAGGAGACATCAACTCAAGGCCAGATTACTTAAATTGGCTGTGCTATGAGAAGACAAGCCTGCAGGTGATCAGTTATCTGAATTATACACCACGTCAGTCAGGCCCAAAGTCCAGGGTTTGAAAATCTGGTTCAGAGGAAGACTACAGATTGTCTCCTTAATTGAAGGGGAGAGAGCAGAGGTTCTGCTGAGCCATGGAACTGAGAGCCAAGGAGTCAAGCGAATGCACAAATACCCAAATTATTTTACATTGTAAATTATGAGATATTGGTCCTTATTCGAAATGCTGAAGTTCCTGTAGCACTATTTTTGAAGAACTTACATGGTAAAACAGAATTAGACTTTTAGTAGAAAAAGGGATGAATATTTTATTAAATATGAATTATACCATCCCTAAAATTTTACAGAAAATGCTTATAAAAAGAGTTATTACTTTATTTTTTCACAGAGAAATGGAGACACTCAAGCATTTTTATTTTTCCTGCTGAAGTATGAGTTTTCCTACTCAAAAATGTTTTGACATGAACCTTTCAGACAGCTACTCGGAGGGCCTCCGAGTAAAATCCTGCTTTTTGTGGATATAGACCATACGTAAGCTCGAGCACGCACAGTTCCCAACCCTAGCCATCAATCCTTAACACGGGGTGGGCTACTGGGTCCACCACCTCTTCCCTGTTCTTGTCCATCTTATTCCTGAGACCTCCTGGGACAGATATTGCCCAAACAGGTATTTTTTTCAGCATTGTGCACACTGAGCCCAAAATCTGTTAGCATGACAGCAGTACAGGGGAGAATAAAAAAATAATTCTCACTGCCCTCTTCTTGCTGGCATCAGCAGTTTCTTTCTAGACATTCAGGAAGGATTAAGAACCAGATAGCTGGGGTTTTTAAAGGAAATCTGAGGGTTTTTTTCCCCCCCCTCACAGAAATCAAGCTTCCTTCCCAGCAATTACCTGTTGTTTCTTAGCCAAAGACAGCTTGCAATTTTGAAATATTGTCCTGTTAAATCTCCGCATGAGTTTTGGACCCAGCAAAAACATCACATTTACACAACAAGGCCTGAAGCTTCCTAGCTTTTCTGTCCCCAATGTTATGTTATCACTGAGCTCTTTAGAGGTTTCCACATTCTTAGCATCTTTCACACATCATTCACTCCTGAAAGCAAGTGAAGGAGTCTACTAATGTTGGAGGGCAGACAAATATAAGTTATATAAGGTACAAATAAAGGCACACTGCTTGTAGCCCCACTGTTTGCAATTATTAAAAGAATATCTAAAAGTCAGAGGTCCTGACTCCATTCCTGGGGTTTGCAATTGCAGACCAACCTTGATACCAAGCTCCAGCAGACTTTCCTTATCGTGACATATGCCTGATCCCAGACCACCAAGTGCATACGCAGAACGTATCATGACAGGGTAGCTGATCTTTTCGGCAGCCTTCAGAGCATCTTCCACCTTAAAGCAGATGGGAAGAGGTTTCAAAGGCAATGGTAACAACTAGGCTGAAGAGAGTCTTAAACTACCTTTGCTTATTTGACTGGAAAGCCCATCAGTAAGACGCTATATTGTCTGAAATGACATGAAAAAGAATTAACTCAGCTTTGTAACCTTGCTTTGTTCCTACAAGAAGCAGAAAATAGAAGCATAGACACTGGGAAGTGATTTCTGTTAAGTTACATGTCAACTTTCCTGCTGACTTCCCAAGGAAATGTCCTTACCTCCTCTGTCTTCTATGCATGAAATAACCCCTCCAACAGACATCTTGGTTTAACAGTTTCCTCCCAGCTCAAATGGGCCTACCCACTGAACCAATTACTTTTTCACTCTTTCATCTTCACGAGGGATTTCAGTACTGCTGATTCTGAGGACCTGAAATCTTAAGCCTCTACAGCTTGCATAAGATTTAAAAAAAAAGTAGCCACTGAAGTGGGGTGTGTGTGTGTGTATATATTTGTACTGCAGGAGATATGTGTTACCAGTCTAATTTATTTTTCTTGTCAGTGGCTAAATTAATTTATACTTTCAAGCGCTTAATTTCATTTTCACCCATTCTAAATCACTGTGAGTCAACATCAATCATGAGTTTGGAGTGATGAAAGTATCCAAGCTACAGTGTTCACCGCTGTACTAAGCATTCAAACAAAACTATATGTACATATATATTTAAGATAGGTCAAATAGGTAACCACATTTTCAAAATTGTCTGATTTACCGACTCCACTGCAAAGCTAGGAGCAATCTTTTCATTCAGTTCAGTCAGTCTGTCAGAAAAGAGCTGTCTATCCTCTGTAGCCATGATGGATTCAACTGATGTACCTAGGACCTTCACGCCGTACTCCCGCAGCACTCCTTGCTTGAAAAGTTCCACTCCTGCAGCATAAGCAAAGACAGAGCTCTGATGACTGAAGGTGAAGGAAGAAGAAAGTATCCGGAAGATATAAACCACAAAGCGAAAGTTTCTGGCCCGCAGTTTGTAAGACCTGGCACTGGCAGTGAAGTCACTGTTTTAAGTCACTGTTTACCATCTGCAATCCAAAACAGATTCGTATTTCTGGATACAGTTGCAAGAAGCTAAATGCAATTAACTTTTCATCTGGGTCTCTGCCTCAAATTGTTCACTCATCAGATCAGTGTTTATAGCTGGAATATCCCCAATCCAAATACAATACCACAGGCATAAAGTGCAAAGCAAAACATCCGAATCCATTTTAAATATCACAAGCAGTCATTAGATACTATGTTTGACCCACAGCCACATCTCTGCCCATTCCCTGTGGCAACTCGGAGAGCGTATCAGGCACACAGCTCTTACATGTCTATAGAAATCAAGTCTGCTGAACTGCGTGGTGAGAGCAGACTCAGCTGCAAGGAGAGGCCAGGGCACCTACTCTGCACCCACCGCAGTTGAGAGCTGTCTGGCCACCCATGCCCAGAATTAATCCATCGGGTTGCTCAGCCTTGATGACCTCCGTGACAAAGTGCGGGGTGATGGGGAGGAAGTAGACGGCATCAGCCTGCTTCGGGCCTGTCTCGTTGGTCTGCACCGAGRCGATATTGGGATTCATGAGGATGACTTTCACACCTTCTTCCTGAAAAAGCAAAAGTCTGTGTTAAATTTAGGCATACGTGTTAAAAAGAGATAACAGCATTATCTGTAGCACGGAGAAATGGCCTTCAACAAGGCTAGGGCAAAAGTTTAAGGCCGAAGAGAGACTATCAGAGTATTACTGGGTAATGAAGAAGTTAACCAAGTTCTCCTAAGAATGATGAGACTAAAATGTGGCCAAGCTTAAAAATACATGTCAAACTCAGATTATGCACTACTGCTTTAAGGAAAGGTGCACTAGGAAGTAAAAAGTCTGTAGCCTGATTTTATGGTAAGTCATTCTCATCCTCAACTTACAAGACAGGAAACTTCTACAAAGAAGCAAATCCTTTGTAAATGGTCCTAACTAGAGATGCAACATATTTTAACACAAAGATTTACTATATGGAAAGAGATAGTAAGAAATGAGAACAGAAGCTTTTAGAACAGACAGGAACTGTGATGAAAAATGACAAAAAAAAAGAAATAAGGCAGGAGGAGGGTTGGTAAGCTGAAGATGCTCCTCAAGCAAATGCTTATGGGAGCATTACTAGGACCTGTAAAGAACTTGCTACTTCCCCTCAGTCCACAAACAATATGAAAACACCACAGGATTTTTCTGTTTGGATCAAATTTGGGATTATTTAATCAACTGTTTGCGAGAAGAAATATGTAACTCAGCTGGAGCAGTGGGACTCTTGCACAATGTTCTCTCTGCCTACTAAGTTCAGACACTGAATGACATTTCTTCATTTTTCTTTGATAACCTAAAATACCACTTTAAAAACTGGTCTTAAATTTGTGGTACTTTCTCACGGAAAGTTGGATTTTTTTTCACTGAAAAGTACTTTCCTTGAATGCATGTGGAGCAGGGCAGGAAAAGAAGAGATCAAACTGTTATAGAAAATACCAGTATTTCAGAGAAATCGCCCCAAACAGAACTATTTTCACAGCAGTGCATAGGAAGGATAGTTTTCCGAGTAAAACAGCTTCCTCTGATGAATGTTCTCAAAAATTCATGGTTATATACCCTAAGGACCCGCTGGCAGTGATGAGGAAGGTGATTAATGAGCAGAATTAATGCCCACTGTGCCAAGAGAAACACTTTTTATTGATACTACATCATGCCCGTTTGTTTGGGGTGCTGGATTTTAATCCAGAAGGAAGATTTCCATGGACAAACTTCTGCCTTTGTGTAATACCCAACCTGTACTGAGAAGAGTTGGGAGAATCCCCAAAGCAAGCAACCAAGAAAGGTTTTCACGTGACATGAGTCGGTCTCCGCTATCCTGAGATGCTTCCAGGGCCAGTTCGTCTTGGGATGCTCCTGCCTCTCATGCAAGTTCTTGCAAATACTCCCCCACTGACCGGGGAGGCCCAGCTCCATGAGGCTTTTCCTCTTAAAAAGAGACACCCACATAACTGTGTAGCACTAAATGCAAACAACAGCACTTGTCTTTCAATGCACCAAGGTCTAATGGAGTAGGAAGAGCAGAAATCAGCAGACCGTAGCAATAAGAAACAATATTGATTCTTTAAAAGAGGGAAAAAATAGAAAGTGTAAGGAAAAAGCAACCTCTTGCCTCCCATGAAGTGTCCCCATTGCCTCCCATCCCTCTTGTGCAGCTTTTCCCTGGCAGCCACTGCCCGCCTGCCTCTCCCGCTGGCAGGGTCGGGAAGAGCCAGGGCTGCAGCTGGGGAGCTGAGGAGCCTGCAGGGCAGAGCAGCTGCCTGGGGGCCGCAGGAAGGAAAGGGGCACCGTGAAAGGTCAAGCTAGGGAGATTCATCACAAAAAAACCCTCTTCACATTCTAGAAACCAAAGCTGAGTTTGAAGGACAAAAGAGAAAACAAGGGTAAGAGAGAGGCCCTTCTAGCAGCTCCTATCTGCGCTCACCAGCTCCACCACCATCCACTTCTAATTCGCTCTTGTCTTCCTGATGTTGTGGCCACTTCCAACTAGTAGCTTGCACCATCAGTACAGGGCACAAAGCACACACAATGCCAGATGAGTTGTGAGATGGAGTTTCAAACCTGATCTACCCCAGATGAAGATTACCCTTTGCCAACGGCATGCAGAGACCCATCGTGCGCATCGTGTACGCAGGAGGCTGCAAGCAGGACACACAGGGACTTCCTCATAAGCATGTATTTTTCAGGCACATGCAGAAACACACAGACATTTCTGTTCATCCCAGTAAATGTTTCTCTCTCGAGTCTTCAGAAAAAGAGCAGAAACTGGACAGCAAGTTTACCACACAAAAACACATCCCCAGGAAAAAAATTGTTAATTCCTTTTAAGATTATGAATTTATTCTGGAAACGAAGCTTGGAATATACAAAAATGTTTATCCTATATAAAATAAAAATCATACACAACATTCACAAAGACTGAGGTTCAGCCTTTCTCAGTATCCAGCCATGCAGTGTGCGTCTGGACACCACAAAAGTTTCAGTAATTCCAGCTCAGATGCTGCTGACCAGGTTTCTCTTCACTTACATTCATTCAATCAGAGCACTGGACAACATGACAAGCCAGGAGCAAGCAGGCATCCACCATGAATAACAAACTGCTTCAAGACTGCAACATAAACTCCAGAAAAAATTTCTCTGCTAGGTAAGTCTTGAGTAGTTTACTCAGACCATTCAAGCAACAAATTCCCAAACAGAAGAAACTAGTTAGATTTACTGACAGGCACTAATTCTCACCAACTTCCCTGCCCCCGTGAGAGCTGAATGTAGCAGCGACAGCAGCTACAAGAAGGGAAAGTAAATTAAATCAAAGCAGATGAACGTTTTCAGAGTATCCTCTCACCTTCATGGCTTTCACAGCCTGGGATCCAGAATAATCAAACTCCCCTGCCTGACCGATCGACAGACCCCCAGATCCTAGGAGGAGAACTTTGGAGACCTGCAAGTGTGAAATGGCATGAAACAGTCAGCATGTTTCCCACAGGGGTGGGAATGACACAGAACAACTTCAAATTATAAAAAAGCAACTTTCAAAAGGGAAGACAGGTCGCATTCAAAACACTGCAGTTTTACTTCCAAGAATATTTCTGCTCAACCTCCCCCCTGCGTATCTGGTTAGAGAAGTACATGAGTTATGCATAAGGCATACAGTAAATGTGTTAACTGTATCACATGCTCATAAACAACCGTGCCTCGGTCTGGCTGCCCATGAAGTCCAGCTGCTTTCTTAGATAGCAAAACTGTATGAAATTCATCTCATACTAGGAATTCCAGACACATTTGCTAAGCAACAGAGCCTCAGCATTAAGCTGCTGGCAAACTCCCATGGCCAGATTATCCCAGGACACCTCAGAGCGAGGAGAGCTCCTTTCCGGGGTGAACTGAAGCAAAATATACAAAGCATCAGATCTTAAAATCCCTCGAAAGAAAGGTAGTTAATAACACAAGAGAGACCTGATAACTATACGACAGGTAGAAAGAACTAACAGCTTTTCTATAATAGCCTTGTCTCTGGCATTGCTGGCCAGGTTTTTATGTGATGTGTTTTGTATCCTGTGCTCAGTAGGATTTAACAGCTTCTGGCCTAACTGAGAGGCAGGAATGATGAGTACCTGTACACTGACCTCTACTCTGGAAGCTGCTGCTCCGGCCTGGGGCACGACCGATGCGATGGTAGTGCCTTTCTCCTTCTTAATCAGCGACATAAATGAATCAAAGAGAAACTAGGAAAAACACAAACACTTGTATTTAATCCCCAAAGTAAAACTAAGTAACACCAAGCAAAGAAGGCTAAAACACAGCATTTGTGAGCTAAAGTCATCAGCTTTGCTCTGCTACCTATAGGAGGTATATTTACACCATCAGAGAAGAGGGGAATCATATCTGAGGTATATTTAATGATTTCTGACATATCTGACAAAGCTGCATTCGAGAAATTGCGGTCGCATCAGGGAAAAAACACATATAAATCATGTTTGTGTGCTCTGCTTGTACACAGCTGACTGCATAATAAATGCCTATGCACTCAAAGTTAAAAATCAGAAGACCATACACTTAACTCGACCAAGGGAACTACATGGAACAGAGCCTGCTATGGAGCTGGGATCCAAACAGTTGTGCAGCTGCGGTGCTGAATCAGTACTGCCCTCCAGAGGGGAGACCAGAGCAGATGGAAGAAAACTCCTCTCCAGCTTCCATCCACCCTGCCTGCCTCAGAGGATGCCGTGTGACCCTCCCTGGTCCACAGGCAGCCACAGGAGAGGCTCCAGCTGCCCCCAAAAGCACTTGCAGAGCTTCTGCCCGTGCACCTCCCGAGGGAGACAGGAGCACAGATGAGCATGGCGAGTCTAGCAGGACTGGCAGGATGTCTCCCAAACCCCTCTGAGCAGGGGACATGCACAAGGGCTTGAAAAATACACAATTGAGGTCAAATTTAAAGCAATTCCAAATCACAAGTCAAACAGACTGGCAGAAAACTTCTTGATATCTAGAGATTTACTTGGAGGTTTAATCAACAGTATCAAATTAAGACTAAAATCAATCATTTCTAAGTATTCTTCAAGCTTGCTTACTCAAGAAATGCTAAATAGTGTATTTATGTTCAGACATGCCTTCCCTGCCTTGCACATCCCCTGCTGCTGCTTAGTCATACCCTGTGACTACACGAGCGGGGCTATAGAATTTGTGCGAAGTCACAGATGGGGGATTAAAATTTCATTTCACTTAGGAGAACAAGAGTGAGGAAGTGTGAATCCATTTGCATAACTCTACAGTAATTATTAAATTTGAAACTGGAACTAAATTGTATTAGAAAGTCAATGATTTTATTACAAAGCATCTGGCTAGTATTTTTTTTTTTCGTAAGAAGGATTTTTTTCTCCCCTTTTGTAACCACTCCAGGTACAAGAGATTTGAGCCTGATCCTGCAAAGGCTTCAACACTTCAGTAACTTCCAACACACAAATAATCCCACCAGGACTCAGAGCATGCAAGTCATACGAATGGAATCATTGATCCAGAGCACACAGAAGTCAATAGACACCTTGCTGCTGCTTATAATTAGCAGTGGATCAAGCTAAGCAGCCACGAGCCCATGCCTGGCTGGGCCCCTTTTAGGATTTAGATTTAGGCTTGTCACCATATAAAGGCTTTTCACCTTAGCTAGTGTGTGTCTATAGTCTCCGAGCCATCTCAAAGCAAAGCCAGATAAATCCTGTACTGTACCTCTGTGTCTGTTGGCCCTGGTTTTGCCTCTGGGTAGAACTGCGCTGTGAAAATTGGTTTGGTCTCATGCATAATTCCCTGCAGAAGCAAACACAATCGTCTTAGACACCTCCTTGCTCATGGGCAAGAGAACAGAAAAGAAGAATTACCCCTGTATGGGGCTATGGGATACTGCTTCCTATCTGCACTTTTTCAGTTGTGAACCTCCAGAGACCAAGACTGTGGGGTTTGTTTTTTTGGGGTTTTGGTGGACAGAAAGGGGTTGTTTGGGGCTTTTGTCGGTATTTCATTTATTTGTTCTGCTTATTTAGCGTAGGATATTTGACAAGAAGCCTCTATCTTACATCTTCCAAGAGGCAAATCGACCCCCTTCTACTAGTCAAAGGCAGAAGTTTAATTCCTGACCTCTAGTTTTTGGAATTCTACTTATGTTAACTGACCATATCCAACTGTAACAATTCTCATTTTCTACGCCAGGCTACAAAGAGCCCAACACAAGACAGTGGATACGATAGTGTCCCTGTGCCACAAATCCTGAAGACAAGGATAATGGAATGAGGACCACTAACAGTAAGGAAAAGATGAAGTAAACAGAGTAGCTCTGCCAAGGGAAATCATGAGGTCATTGTCATAATCTAACACTTTGGGGTACTTTCTTTTGGGTTTTACTTCAACTCCCTTGGAGCTGCAAGGCAAGTCCTCAAGCAAAAGACCAGATCATTAAGATTAGATTGGATGACTAGGTGCAAACCCACAGTAAGTTTCCAGGGGATGAAATAAAGGGGGGGAAGTGGGGGGGAAATCTTCACTTTAAGGGCTGTGGTAGGTAGGGATCCAGAAGCCACGTGCTCACTTCGTTTGTTTGATCATTGGCATTCACAAAAAGAGGTGTCCAGCCCGGCGGGAGGGTAGAGCTGTCGATGGCAAAACTGTGGTTCTGAGCAGTGACGACTGCCCGTCCGTTCAGCACATTCACAACTGGCTGGTTCTGCCCTCTGAAAGGGAAGGGGGGAAAGGAAAAAGTGGAAGGAGAGGCGAATTGATGCAGGATGTGTCCCAATGTCAGTTACCTACAGCCGATCACAGGGGGGAACCCACAGCAGTTCCCTGCTAGATGTGCAGTACCAGTAGCCTCTCAAAGGGATACATTCTAGAAGAAACTTGGCTATCCTTCAGTTTGATGGGGACAAATTATAACAAATACTTCCACAGTTCCCCCCAAAAAACAGAGCACAACATGGCAGTTTAAATTTAAGGCAAGAAAAATGCCAGGAATGAATAAGTAACGTTACTACTACATTAGCTTCTTGTAAGGCAGCTCAGGAGCCAAGTATGGCTGCTCTGGGGCATTCCAGAGTGCGGAGCCCTGCGCTGTTGCTGCTGTACCTGTTGGCCATCTGCATCCTGTAGCAAGTAGCTCCAGCTGCTATTCCAGTGATTAAATTGCCCATGCTGATCCCAAACAAGGGCTCCAGGCGATCGCTCTCCAGGATCTAAAACAAAAAGGTTTCCATGAGGTAGTGAAGTGACTCTGCCCAGCAATCCCAGCATAAACCGTGCAGTAGGTCCATCTCTACTGCAGTTCCCTCAAAGAAGTCACCTGGGCCTGGGAAAAGACTGAAGGCAAGGTGGCAAATCCACATGGATGCAAGTTTCCTTCTCTCCTCCCTTTCAAAGGGAAACCTCTGAGCACAGCCCAATGTCTCAGTCTATTCAAGGTGAACCAATGATGACAAATTTTATCAGGGCATTCAGTGCATGACATGATTTCAAACGGAAGGAACTGTGAAAACAGGGCAGCTTTTTCACAAGCTGACAGCAGTGCTGAATGAGCACTAGATACTTAAGGGCATTGATAAAATGATGATACTCATTTTCATGAGGGTCTGCACAGTTGTACTGCAACCACTGGACTGGAGACCTAACTCTCAGTAGACAGACATGAGGAACGTAGAAAGCAAATGAACTGGCTACATTGTCCAAAACATCCTAGTAAAAACAACTGTTTAGATTTCAGATACATAAATAAATGGAAATAAGAAAACTGGCCTGTGTTTCTCATGCTGTACCTTTCTAACGTTCTGAATCACCTCCTGGGCCTTCATTGGATCCCCTGGACCTCCAGAAATTAAGAGCCCATCATACTCCATGCTGGTGAAATCATGGTCCCATGGCACCAAATGCACTTCTGCACCTCGCTGGGAGAGAAGCAAGAGGGGAACAAGCAATACATGAAGCAGGAGAACAAATTAATTTGAGTCTGGAGGCTGCATCTCTGATATTCCACAAAGGCTGAGATCAGATTTCAGACTTTCCTTCCTTAGGGATAATAATGAGGCTCATCTCTACTATCTGTCCAGATTATTTTCACAAGATGGTTAAGGACCTGGTATCTGAATCTTGTCAGTGACTGTCAGGTTTGAAATCTATTAATGGGGCCAAAACTTATTAATGAAACACTAAAACATACACACAAAATGGTTGGTTTCCTTTAACACGGGGAACTGCTAACAAATTCTAACTGCTAACTTAGGATCTGGCAGCCCTAAGATTGTGCCTTGTCTCTTAAGTTCACCCTCTAGTTCTTCTGGTGGCCAAAAGGCTGCCTCAGCACTCACTGCCTCAGGTATGACATATCTAGCTCAGGAAACATTAGTCAGTCCTCAGGAATCATCCCCAACTTATACTCCATGTTAGGGGAGAATCTGCTACTCGGATGACTATATCCAGGTAGAAAGAAGGCCCAGTGAGCACATGCACGAGACAAGGCTCAGAGCAAAGCAGAGATGCAGGGTATAAAGCACCCACCTACCTTTACTAGCAGACGGATAATGTTGTGCTTCAACCCACAGTCAACAGCTACCACTTTAACTGGATTCCCTCTACCATATATTTTGATTTCCTGTCAGTAGGAAGAGAAAAGAGACAGACTAGGTTGTAAATGACAGATTATCCCTCTCAGACACAAGGAAGGGCAGCAGACTGACTGTTCGGTAATACGAAACAACTGGTGCTCAGCAACCAAGGGAATCTCTAGAAGCACCAACCATTAATGCTTCCTTGATTTTTCCATGAAAGTGGAAGCTTTAATGCTGGTTTATATGTGCATATACACATAAGCTGCAACCAGGGACTACCTGCCTCAGTGCCAAATCTGGACCACCGGACTTTGTACAGCCCCTTGTTGCAACAAGACCACAAAATGGGGAAGAAAAACCCTACTGTATGTTACACAGGCCTTGGCACTGCAACACGGATACATTCAATGACAGCTGTAGTACTGATGCAGCATGATTTATAGATAGCTTCTTCCTGAAGAATGGAGAGCTATTTATTTGTTATGTAACTGCAGTTAGCATGAGGGGGTTTGGGTTTTTTTTAACACTAAGTAATTCCCTTTTAATCAGCTTTCTCAACACCTCTGTTTCACAGCTGGGCTGCCTTATGAAGAGATGCTAAACTCCACGGCTATTCTGCCTGGTGCTACACAACCACCTTTTCACAGAAGGAATCCCAACACCTTAGTCTGTTTTCAAATCCAAAGCCCTCTGGAATCACTCAAAAAAATTTGAGCCTGAACACAGACTGTGACCATAATCTTCCTTGAATTTTATTTAAGGGGAACAACTGGAAAAAAATTTTTTTGGTCTGGAAATATTCTCCTATATACTTGTTCTCTGTATGCCCAATAAATCTTGATCCTGTCATTGTAACAGACGATGCCTGGCCGGTACACAGCACTACCCAGACTACACAAGATCAACACAGCTCATTTAACAACTTCAACACAGCACCTTGGGAGCCACAGAGATTCAAGGAAGATGATATTGTGGTCACAGCCCTCTAAAGATCTAAAAAGACATAGTTTAGAATAGGTCCCTGAACTGTTTGTTTGGGCAAAATGGATGATTTGGAGGGCAAATGGAGAGCAGTTAATATCCGGAGTATACAGCATTGGGACTAGAGAAGTTCTCACCTTGGTTGACACTTCTGCAATTAAGTTCTGCTTATTTGGGTCTGTAAACTCCACAGGTTGACCTTCAAATTCAATCTTCCCAAGTACGGTGCCCTGTAGAAATACAGCAGTAAACAGCTAAGCATGAGCAAAGCAGCAGCTGTGAATACTAGGGCAGGTGCTGACAGGCACAGGAACTCGAACAGCTGCTTGGTGATGGTTTCTTGACAGCTTATAACCACTTTCTGCTTCCTCGGAAGTTTATAAGTTTTCCTTGGTATCAGAAAGCTGTTTAAACATCCTTCATTTGGGAAAGAGGCACTGCCAGCAGTAAAAGCTGTTAAGAGGCAGTTTGGCAAGCTATCTAATAACAGGAAAATGGGTTGCCTTCCAGGAGGATCAAAATTCAGCTCCCCACATCCCCATTTTGTAGGTCTGGGTGCAATCCACAAGGGAGCTTGCAACTTTTTGACTTTGGAAACCTCCTGTGAGGTCTTCAGCCACCCACTGTGGATGGCTGAGAGGCAGCAGAGAAAAAGCCATATGAAAAAGCTGTGTGGGAGGAAGGTCACTGCAACTGTTTGCTGAATGAATTATTAAAACACACTGTGAAAAGGCTCTGCTCTTGGCTGTTCTTACCACAGAAGCCAGGACACCCCTGCTCAGCTGCCTGCATTGGCCAGGAAGAAGGTAGAAGGTTCATGGAAGGAAGACAAGCAGGTAGAAGTTGGAACTGGAAGGAGCAAAGGCGTAGGAAAAGAGACAACAAGCTCCAAAGCATCTTGTTGTGATCCTAGGAAGGAAATATTTCCTTCTCATGGTAATATTCTTTACCCTAACCTGGTGCTTGGTCATACCTCAAATATCCTTAACACTTCCCTAAGGCAAGAAAGACCCAGGACCTTAGATTTTCATATGTGCTGCTAGGGTTAAGTTTTAAAGGCAGCACATCTCCCCTAGGCTGCTTTGTGGGGAAGAGTTGAGAAGGCCACTGTCCCCTGGAAAAGGCTCCGCTCCCGGGAGCCACAGGAACTGCCCCTTGGCAACCTGCCCCACAAACGCCCATGACAAGACCCGCTGGCTTACTTTGGCACTGGGTTACACAGTAAAACAGCACCTTGCAATTGCCCTTAGAATGCAACCTAACAAGTTACTGCTGATTTATGCATTGATCACAATGAAACTGTTCTCATCCCCAAAAGGGCAGGAGGCAAAATATTGTTTGCTAGGTCCCCACTCTAGCTCCCCCACCAAAAACAAACCAAAAATCTGACCAAGAAGACTGGGAGAAAAGGCTACATTAAACATCATTTAGGAATAACAAAAATACTAGCCACAGTACCAGTACAATAGCCCTTAGTGCCATAAACTTCCTGCTAAGCTACTGGATAAATACTGTAAGCATATTTAGTTTGGATGAAAGCAATGATGAACCATTAAATAGCATCTATCAAAAAAAGAAGAAAACATATTGCCATTCTCCGGTGTAATAAACCACTTATCTGCTGTCTAAGGGCCAGAAAATCTCCAACCTTCCCATAAGAATTCCCTTCTACAAATATTCTTCTATTCAAGCTGGGTCATTCATATTTTATTCTGTGGAATGAATGTGGGTGTGGGTTTGGACTGCAGATTGCAAATTGATCACCTAAACAAAATGGAAAAGAGCAACTTCAAATAATCCTCTATAAGAGAGCAGCCCCTGAGGCACAACAATTTATATGCAGAGTGGCTTTGATCATTGTTTTAGTCAGTGTAAAGTGTACCTTAACATTAACCTCCATTCAGTAACATAATCCTGCATATGTCCTTCAATTGTCAGCTCTCAGGAATCAGGCAGAAATAATGACTATTAAAAAATAACAAAAGGCTTCAGGGAAGGAAAATTGGCCTGAGTTAGTAATCCAGTTTAGGTCAATGTAAGCATTCCTTTATGTCTCTGAGGAGCAGAGGAGTTTCTGTTGAATAGAGGTGGTGTTGCCTACAAACTAATATGCAAAACAATCCCACAGAAGTGTTGCTGCCTCTGGCTGTTTACACACCTACCTGAGACCGACCATTTAAATCAGCTTGTGCTGGTTCACTGGCTTAGAAGAGGAAATCCAGCACAGAGCCAAGGAAGAGGGGGATCATCGGGATGCAAACAGTGCCACGGCTGCCCACAGGGCACAGGGATCTGAACAGCACCCGAGGCCAAGGCAACCCAGCCGCCAGCATCGTCACCCCAGGCTTGCTGCAGTGTCAGAAAAAGGGTCCCATAATGACAAGTTTAATGCACCTGGATCAAGGAAGGGGGATCATACCTTGTCCCGGATCAATTTGGAGAGCATCCTGGTATCAATCCCATACAGAGCAGGCACCTACACAAAACATTAGACAAGAGCAAGTTAGAGAACTAGTAACCCCTCATTCCTCCCCATTCTCACTCATATGTCTTGGTTCTCCAAATCTTCTTGTGTCTGCATTGAAAACATTTGGGGGAAAAAAAGGCTCATGCTGCAACTCCTTCCTCATTTTTGAGCCCTATTTTTGCCTTATTCCTAAGCATCCACCCCTCCCAGCTGTCAGTGCACACTTTGCTGCTACATCCTTAATTCTCTCAGGTTCAAACCAGTGGGGTTTTGGCAAAAAACAATTTTTGGGGGGTTGAGATCGTGGCAACCACTCGGAACAGCAATAGCGGGAAATAACTTTGCATCTTGAAAAAGAAAATGGATGAAGAACCAGAGATTTGTGAAACACAAGATGAACCCAAAACTGACAAAAGCCAGTCAGAGGAGAGGCATGGTTAGCAGCACAAAGCCAGCAGTTCTGCCCCCTGGTCCCACCTTCACAGGTCTGTCCATAAAGCAGCTACTGCTGCATCTCTCACCTTCTCCTCCTGCAGCCACTCGCCCAGGCTCCTAGCAGCCTGCCAGTGACTGTACTCACTGCTGTAATCCAGCACCACCAAACCTGAGACCTGCAGAGAGAAGAAACTGCCTTTTGCACCGAAGGTTCACTCCATGCTTGCCCCAGACCTTCTGAGAAAGCACATTTTGTTAGAAAGGTTAAATTTAAGCCAGTGTTTTACTTTAAAATAATGCTTTTCACTTGAAAGCGACATTTCTCTTCAAAAGGCAACTGCATTTTCCAGTGGCATTAGCAGTTTATAAAGGAGCCACGTCACCTCAGGATGGATAAAGCATTTCACTGGCACTGTGATTACATGACTATGCTTCATTTTTCAGAGCTGCCACTGCTATATGGGGGGTGTTCTCCTGCCCCAAGCCAGTGCTCCCGTGGCAAATAGATACGATAGCATAGAGAGACCTCCCCTCTTCTTTATGGCCACGTCACACATGGTGCCATCACAGGTGGCTTTGCAGTACAGAAATGGGCTCCTCAGATGTTCTGACAAATTGCCCTTTTGGAACACACACTTAACTTTCATAGTAACTTTTTTGCAGTAACTTTTGATCTTTACTTAAATTTTGCTTATACTGTTGTTTTAATCTTTTGTAGAAGGAAAGAACAGCTCTAGCACTACATCCTCTACTTGAATGTCTGTTCATCTGATATGGTACAATACCCAGCCCTCACTGCACTGACATCTTTTAATGCCAGAATGGGCCAGGAAACCCCTTGATTTATTATATGCTGCCAGTTGGGTCAGGAAGGGCTGTAGAGACCAGAGATGTGATTCAGTCCACCAAGAGAAGACTCCTGGGGTCACACAGGTTCCAGCACAGCCTAAGTGTTCATTGCAATTTTTAGATGCACAGATGCACATGCAACTCTGTCTTTTTACCTTGATTCCATCAGACTCAAGGAACCTGTTGAGGCCCATTTCATCCAAAGCAGCCGTGTCAGGTACCCCACCATTCCCAACTACAGGGTTGGCTAGTGTAAGGATCTGTCCTTTGTAGCTGGGATCTGTCAAGGCTTCAGTGTATCTAGGTAAAGAAGAAAGGCAAAGGAGAGAGGAAAATAAGAGAGCAAATAAGTAAATATAAAACAGGCCTGAATTTCCATAACAGAAAGATAGAAGCAGAGTTTATGTCATAAGTTTCAATTATGTTTAAGCACCTGCCTGAATATTCTGCCAATAAGGGCAGATCCGTAAGTTTGGTTGAACACATTGTATTGCCATGGGTGACTGAACACAAGATTTTGTATTTTAATGGGTAAATCAAATTTAAGGCTTTGCTAAACCTACTGTGTCAGCTCTGGATCCAGTAGATCCATTCTCACTTTCCCCTCCCAGGAGGCTGACAGATTAGTTAGGGTCTGTCTACCCATGCTTTTACTTTGCAGCTTTTAATCAGTAAGCAGGCCCTCATTTTCTGCATGATACTGCTGCATACTGGTGCAGCAAGCTGTTAAATAACTGCTGCTTTTCAACCAAAAAATAGCTGCAACCCAACATCTGATGAAGTTATCTACACCAGTATGTAGCCAAATGCATTAAGATGGTGCAAGATGAATCTGCCCTATGTAGACTATAACTTATTACTGTCACCATAGTTTAAACCGAATGGTTGCAGGCAGAAGATGCAGTTCGGCAGCCACCTCAAGTGATGTCCTGGATGAACCCTGGCTCCAAAATATTTCCAGGGAGGCCTCTCCTTGTGCTCAAATCTGCATCTCCTGCTGTAAACATCCACTCAAGCTGCAGTGCAATGGCAGGAAGCACACAGCACGTGTACATTTGGCACCTCCTTCAAGTCAATGGGTTATGCTTCCAAAAAACGCGCTGCTAAAGACAAGGCTCATGTCATTAACCTTTGTATGTTATTTGTAAGCACAAACTCAGCTCTACATGGAGAGAGAGGGCCCTTTCAGCAGGCACAATGCCCTGTGCAGCAGATAGGGGCAGAAGCTCCAGGGATGCTGCAAGGTCCAGACTTCTCTGCACCTCCCCAAAGCCTTGCTGGGTTCAGGAAACTCCTGTCAACCACCTCTCTTACCAGACTATCACAGTAAGTACATGCAAACATCTTGGAAGCAGATGCATTTACTGAGCTAACTGAAGCATGGGCACATTATAGGGGGTTTAATTCTTTCTCTTAGTTGAAAACCTCCTCGCTCCAAATGGATAGATGCAACACTAGAGTTTTCTGGGTTTTTTTGTTTGTTTTCGGCTTTTTTTTTTATTATTTTTTTTTTATTTTTTTTTTTGGAACGCCAAAGCTGTAAGCACACAAAGTGCTTTGCCTCCCTGCTCTACATCATGAATCCAAGTGAGGGAGTCCTCACGAGGACACAAGGTACTGGACCAACAACACCACTGTCTCACCAGAGCTCACAGACCCCACTGCACACCTACGAACAGTCAGACCCCAGAAAGCAATATTCCAGGCTTAAAACCTGCCATGGCAAAACTCTCCCTTTCCTACCCCTTATTCCCTGTACTGACAAACAGCTATAGGCCCAGGGAGGCTGTACAAGGCCCAACCCTGCCAGAGCATCTGCCAAAGCACCTCCTTCACACGGGCTCTCAGCCTCTTACTGCATCAATGAAAACCTTCAAGGGGTTTCCTCTGGACCCAGTGGTTTACTCAGCAGCCCTAGGCAGAGCTACAGTGTTTCTGGCACTGGGCAGCAGCCCCTGGACTGAAAGCAAATCCTGTCATTTCTATGATCTGCAACAAAGCTGCAAACTCTGCTCCTCTTCGCCAAATCAGTCGAGATGGGGTTCCTGGAGAACACGCTGAAGATGCAACCTTATGTTTCACATGTTCCCTCCATCCCCATATGTTCCACAGAGCAAAACTGTTCTCTCTTCTCACAGGCATCCTCTCCAAATCACCAGAAAAAGAGCAAACAGCTTCTGCTGCCACACTAACATGTGGAAGGGAAATTAATCCATCAGGTCCTGCCCGACTTCTGTGACGTGACAAGATTTATTGCCCATAATCTATCACAGAGAGGAGAACTCTGGTGCCCTCCATCATTCTGATCTATATTAAACAGTTGTTTGTTGGCAGGTATATTAACACAGCAAGTAATTAGTGCTGTCAAAAGCTTAAATAATTGCTTCCTTATGCAAAACTTTGCAAACAGATTCCCCTCTGCAGCAATTTAGCATTCTTACCAACAGAAACATTTAAAAACTCATCCTGTTTCAAGAGGGCACCGGTTTTTCTGAGGGAGAACAGAATCTGGAGAGCCACGAGGCAGCTGAGCAGCGACAGCAGGCAAAGCTCCAGCACCAGCAACCTCAGGGCCGTCTCACTTCCCCAGAGTTGTGTCCCTCTCCTCATGAAGGCCTTGTTCCTCTAGACAAATCTCCTCTCTCAGAACAGTTACCAGAAGGACTCGCAGGATTTTGCCGCTGTCCTAACCAGCCATGGGCTTCTGTCGCTCCAGAGGACACGAGAGCTGTGCTAGGTTAGGCATGAATTTGATCCTCTCTAGCAGGAAAGGGCACAGAATTCAAATGTTTTCTTAGCTGTGGTTTGTACCACCACATGTCATATAGAATCCAGCCTGGGAAGCTCTGGATTTAAAAAATTCACATGCAGACAGCAAGTTTCACCACCCAGAAGGTGGAAAGATGATTCCGACCTCCATATTTGACCCAGAAACATGAGGGACAACATACAAATTTAACTGAGGTGCTTACTGGCCAGTTCTCGTGAGTTCCTCTGCTCTACATCAGCAGCATCACAAAAGGACTGACTGAAGTCCTTTCAACTCATCTCTCTCCCTCTCTATATCCTTGGAGGGCAGCATTTCTGGACAGAACACAACAGGCTGGGATAAGCACCCCCCAAGGGCTTGGAAAAAGTAGCTGCTCTATCACCCCTTCCCCCTTTTACACGCTCCAAGTAGATGGTTTGCAACTTACCCAGCAAGACCAGTGTTGAACACAACTTCCCCTGCTGTGGAGGATGGATGGCCAAAAGAATAGCCCTTCATCTTCGTTCCATCTTCCAGCACCAAGTTGGCTGTCTGCGCCTAGAGAAAGGGATATGAAGACACTCAAATATAGGAACAAAAGCTCTGATGTTTACACAGGTAACTCCTAGGACATCTGCCTCATTCCTCACATGTTAGGCATTATTCCCTCCCCAGACACCAAAAGACCATCTCTGTCCCCATTTACTAAGTGCCTCGTACTCTTTCTCCTCCTAACACATGGCAAATTCCACCTAACGAAGGCCAAGCAGCTGAAAAACCTCTCTGAGCAGCATGTGCTGTTGTCACCACGGAATCACCCTGCCTGCTGCCACCACCACCTTGCCCACCTCACCCACTCACAAGAGCTTGTAAGCAAACAAGACTATAAATCAGGGGAAAAAAGGACTGCCTTTCTCCTCAGTGTTTGCCCAAGGCTTGATGGGGACTGTGCTGCTCCTCACGCAGCCAGGCCTTTCATAGACAGGGCAGGCTCTGACTGCCCCACAGCACATGGCTCGAGGCTCCAGCAGAACTTCCTTCCTTCCAGCAGGAAGTCAAGTCAGCTCCAAGACTTGAGTTCAGCTCTGGACACATGGCTCTCAGTTGTATCCCAACCTCTGCGGTCCCACGTCACACGCAGGCTTTCCTCAGTGACGATGTGGGCTGCACTACCCCCTTTGGTCTGATTTAGAAATTAAACCTTTCTTAGCTGCCCCGCAGCAGGCCAGGAGACCACTTGGGGAGTGCACCTTCTATCAAAAGGTATCCATGAAATATCAGAAAAACAAGTTGGAAGATTCATACAGGCACCAGAATAACCAGTGACCACTGGGGAAGAGAAAAGGCAGAGCTGGAAACAGATTTGCCAGTAACTTCAGCCCTTTGGACTCCCAAGAATCTTCCACTTTGGAACACATGTGGAGCTGCCTCCTGGGCCTGGAGATGCAGTCACAGAGCAAGTCCAGCACAGGAAGCCCAGTACCCTAAGCCATGGGAGATGGGACAAGCTGGTACACCAGGCAGCAGCTCTCAGCATTTCTTACAGTGTGATCCTTCATATTTCTTTTTAAAGCAGAAAAATTCTTTGCATTGGGGTTTTTAAGAGAGGAACCGAGATCAATTTGTTGCAGAAAGGCACAGAAGAGCTCTTTTCCATTAGCTGTAAATCAGAGGAACAATCACAGTGAGGAGAAATTTCATTCCCAGAATTGAACATTTTGTAACAATCATGGCAAACATTCATCTAGGGTTTCTCTGCAGTTATAAATACTGCGCAGATCAATTACTAATGTACTGCAAAATACACTAAAAACCAAACCACACTGCCAAGTAATTGAATTCTGTGCATCTGGGATGGTTTTAGCCTTGCATTTTTTCCTCATTAGTGTCAAACATCCAGTCATTCTCAATAGGATCAGCCATCATTTCTGAGTCTCCCATACCACAGGGTGGGAGAGTCAGCAGCACCGAACTCCCTCTATGCTTATAAATACAGGTTTTGCAGCTAAATCCCCTAGATGTAGCTCGAGCAGAAATTGCAGCTTGGTCAGCTCCCAAATCTCACTGAGCCTGTCGCTAGAGAAAGCTGCTCACTCCGAAACACCTCTGAGCAGCAGTGGCTGCTCCGAGGCAGGGCTTTCTCCCTGCCACAGCAGAGATGCTTCTTCCCGAGAGCAGCTCTGCAGCCAGAGCAGCAGCAGGGCTCGGGCCACGGGCCCGCAGACAGGCAGCCACTTGAGGCCTGGTCCTCGACAGGCCCTCGCCCCTTCCCGACCCCTGCCAAAATGCAGCCCACACCGACATGGGCACGGAGCTCAGGAACCTGCTTCTCCCACAGCCTTCATCTCCAGGGCATAAACTTTTGGGAAGCTCTGCCCCAGTGGCACAAGCTGGGCAAGTGCAATCGCAGCCACAGCTGCAAGACCCTTGGTGGGGATTCCTCTGGGAAGCGAAGTCCGCTTTGTAGGAATGGCTGGAGAAGTTAAAATACATTGAGCTCCTAAAGGCCAAAATCCACAGCCATTACCATGACCCTCGAGCCTCTCCTCGTTGGAACTGCTGACAGGAATCTGCCCGTCCTTCCCTGCCCACAACAGGCCACCTGCGCTTGTACACACGAGATCATAAACTGCACACGTGTTCAGCTACAAGGGAGAAATGTTCAGGTATTTCCCTCCCCTCTTCGATTTATTATTCTTAATTAAGAGCTTAGTCTGCTCGCTGAGTGTTCTTGGAGCAATTATTCTTGCTTACATTTCTAGTGGAGGTGTTACCACATCCCTAAGCTGCCAACCTACCTTGTCTTTTCAGTTTTGTTTGTAACGTGAAAGCTAATTTACAGGCAATTAAAAAGGTCAGTTGACCCAATCTGGATCTAGCTGGGAGAAATTAGCACTTTAAAAAAATAGTAATAAGAAGAAACAAAAGAGCTGCTGTGAGGTCCTTTTATCTCCTTGCTTTTCAGAAGTCTCCCTACGTAGCATAGAATAAATCTTTATTTTTGACTAAAACGTTTCCTGCACAGGCACCCACTGTGACATGCACCATTTACAATCTGATTTCTCCTTCCTACTCACTGGCAACGTTACCTTAACACAGCTCCCTGGGCTCCAGAGAGGCTGCATGGCTCCTGAGGACCTCTGAGGATGGAGATGTCCTCTCAGCCATCTCCACAGTATTGCTGGATTTTGTGCGTATTGTCACAGCAGCTGGAAGAGTTAACTAGCTCGGGTGCCTCTGCACTGAGCACTTCATAGATGAAGTAGCCAAGACACTGGAGCTGTTAAAAGTAGTAGTCAAGAAGCGGATGAATTTAGTTGCAGTTGCATTCCTTGCTCCAGCACCCCTCCCCATTTACAGGACGGATGATAAAGAACTGCTGAATCCCACAAGATCTGCAGTACAATTTGCTTTTTATGGCACGTCTGCTATAAACTCCTTTCCTGCAAGCTGAACAGGTAATTTTTTTCCCCCCCGCTTCAGAATTCAAACTCTTCTGACATAATAACCATCCAAGCCGCTCCAAGCACTTCCCTCCACAGACATCCCGCAGTTTCCTGGGGCAAAGCCTGGATAAACCCGGAGAGCTCAAGGGACACTGGGTCCCAAAGCCAGGTGAGGCCCTGGTGACCAGCACAGGCACAAGAGGGGCTCCACCCCAGCCCTGGCCACGTTGTTCCCCTCCAGTAAGGGCTGATAAAGCAAGTCCTTCCTAAGACAGGCCCCAGCTCCACACAGCACAACATTCCTAGACACAACACACACATTTGGTCAGGTGCCTAACAGCTGACCCTTCCAGAACAGCATTAGAGGCCAAACTCCCATCAGATTTCCTGTACTGTGGAAATGCAGGGCCAGGACTGTACTCCGTCCACTCTCTCAAGACCAAATAACCAGCAACAAAGTGGAGGATCCTCTCTGCTGAAAAACACATCTCCTTTTGGAAGCACTAAGCTATCACAGGCTGGAAATCTATCTGGACATTGCTCACAGCCAGGTCTTCTTTCACCAAGTTGTTTTTTTTTCAGTCTTATTTTAGCACATTTGCTTCTGGCTAAGACTATGAAAAGCAGAAAGGCAAGAATTAAAAATGAATCAAAAGCCAAGTCAAAATCTTTAGCATCAAAAGCAGATTCACATTCAGGCGATCTCTAGGGAGAGGTTTTTGGTTAGCTCCTTTATCATCAAAACCAAAGAGAAAGCAAGAAACGCAGCAAGGATGCCACAGTATAAAGAACACAGCTCCTGCAACTCAAACCTGCACTGTTTCTTAAGGCTCTTCACAGAAACAACACTATTTGCTCTGTCTCTCCAGCCCTGCCATCTACAGAGGTTGTGGTGTGGGCAGGGAGCCCTGTTAATTGCTCCCACTCACCTAACACCCATGCAGCAGCCTGGGGGCAAGACCAGGGCCCTCTTTCATCTGCTTCAAAATATACCCGAGGAGCCTGTTCACAGTTACCTGACATGGTCCCTAAATCCAGCACTCAAATTTTCTTATTCTCCTCCTCACTGTACTTCTAAGCTTGCTCCCAGTGGCTTCTATAGCTCCTCTGATTCTCTCCTTACTGAGACAGGTATATGGGTATGAGCCACCTGTTTATTGCTCATACTAATCTTTACATCCCTATTTAACTACACTGGCCTCAGGGGAGCACTAAATGACTTGCAATCACCCTGAAGGCTGCGACACGGAGCCCTTCGGCCTCACCAAAAGGCTCCTTCTCCCAGGTGACGTCCAGGGAGGTCTCAGAGCTGCTCTCTGGGGCAAACTCAACCCCTGGCTGCAAGGAAGGGCTCCCTCTGGCCGAGGATGCTGCCTCTCTGCTGCAGGGCAGATGAGATGCAAAGGAAGGGAAACAGAAACACGAGTCCTCCCGTCTCCAACTGCTCATCTGAAGTGAGGCCTCCTCACACATGCTGGGTTCAACTGGGCAGAAAACAGCCCTACAAGAATAATTATTAGGATTTCTGCTAAAACTACCACCTCTCCTTCATGTTAATACTTCTCTTAGACTATACCCAGATCAGGATTTTTGTTGCATTTTGTTGTGCTCCCTAAAATAGACTGCTGAGAAGGAGCAAAGGCAACTAGGCACTCATTAAAACCTACACTAACAGGATCATTACCTACACTGTCATTAGCCCCCACACCTTAATTTCTGGGCATTGCACTCCCTTTTTCCAGTCTTCCTACAAATATCCATTATCCACAACGATAGACAATGCACCAAGCCTAACCGTAAGATGCCTGCTGGTCACTTGTCTCACACTGTGATCAACTACTACACCCTGAAGCAAAGCTATGCAACAGGTCGGCATTTTAAGATCACTTATGAGTAAACTGCTGGTTTACTGCTTGCACAGCTACATTACAGAGGCCCTTCGACCCCTGCAAGCCCCGCAAATAGTGATAGAAGAGCCTGACACTGCCTAAAGTAGCAGCCCCAAGACAGCAAAGGTTCAAGTTTTGGTCTTCCAGGTTTTGAGTCCCGACCTGCAACAGTCTCAATGTCCAGGTCAGAAAGAAGCTGCTGGGCTGCTAGCACCCCACGCTGCAGTGAGGGTGAGAACAGCAACTACTCTAAGTGCATCTCAGCAGGGCAGTTCTCCAGGGGCCCGAAGCTCCTTCATCAGGTATCTCAGCGTTACAAGCTGTGACCTGATCAGTCTGCCACTGCAAAGTCCTTGAACAAGGGACAAAATACACAGCTAACATCATCAATCTGTCATTGAAGATGGCAGATCCAAGCGTCAGATGCTAATCCACCAGCAGAAGAATACATAAGAACCAGTCAGCTATAGGTGCCTACCACAATTGCCCTGGAGCACATAAATAAAACACAGTCTCAGCAAATACTGAGCCAGCAGCCCTAACCACAGGCTACAGAGCTTTACCAGCACAAGCTGCCTTTTAGTTTGTGGTTACGACATCCTGCCACAGTGATTTGCTTCTCAACTGACCTCTCACAGTGTGCCACAAGCCTTTGGCTGCTGCACTTTGACACAGCAGATGCATCAGAACCAGCTGTGAGCACCTACTTAGGGATCAGAAGCAATAGCAACAACCCAGGATGCTGTTTTAGCAGAGCTGTTCAGTCCTGCTTACGTGGCTACACGCTTTCTGAAGCCCTGGTGAACTCGAGTGCATCTGCCCAGATCCCTGTTTGGCGACACAAAACACACAAACGCTACAGGCATCAACCAGTGATAAACCAGCTACCAGTTAGGAACCTGAGCTCTTACACCCTAGAAACAGCAACTTCAGAGTGCAGGACCTTCCCTCACAGCTTCCAGGGATCTAGCAAGACTGGTGGTGGAATTTCTCCTTTCCCTCTCATCCCATTTCAATTTGAAGCATAAAATCTCCGGAAGAGACAGCCAGAACTGTCACACTTTCTTCTGTCACACCCAGGAGACACTTTCCTGTCCAGTGCCGAGATGCACAAAGCGTCTGCAGTCTTGGGGAGGAACTTTAACTCCCCCATCACAGCTTGTGTCATCTCTTTCATACACAATCACAATCTACTGCCTCTTCAGATAGTGCCCCTGAGGAGACTGGTAATCATGGCAGGTTTCTAATTCCCGAGCAGGATTCCTGCTGTCATCACAGGCAGAAATAACATCCTCCTAAGGCAGATCTGATTGCACCATCAGGATCAAGCTGCTAAGAGGAAGATTACTGCTGGGTTGTAAGGCACAGTGAGCCAGGTAACAGTCCTTGCCTGCTGCACACTGCCAGAGAGGGGAAGACTGGTCCATGAGCAAGCACAGCAATAAAAATACACGGCCTGCCTCCAAGCACAGGGGAGAAAATTGAACAAGGGATAAGAAAAATAGGGAAGCTTCTTCCCACCTTCATTTTTTCTTTGCATCTGAGTTTTCAGGTTTAAAAGGTCTGTTGTCAGGAGCTGAGATCTGCTTTCTCTTACAAATCAGTGGCCATGGAACAGGTAAGGGAAACCTGAATCTAGAGTGGACATTAATGGTATTAATCCGTTTGCTCCTCCACTGCACCATGTGAAGCTGCATCACTGGGTACCACAGCACAAGGTTCCCAGGGATCCTCCCTTCACCCCTGAAGCATCATTTCTCAGGTCACTAATTCTACTGCACTGTTGATCTAAAAGGACACATGTGCAAGAGCTTCATTTTGTTTGTGCCTGGTGTCAAAACATCCCCAATGCTACATTTCACACAGAATGTCCCACTTCACCACTGTGCTCTGCTCTAACTGCCCGAGTTTCACTGGCAAAGCTGAGGAAATGCAGCTCTTGTAATGAAAAGCAAAAGAAAGCTGAGGATTCGAACTAACACCGGAGAATGAATGGCTGATGCCCTAAAGCATTCACAGAGGGTTGACTCTACCTCTCTGATTAGTGTCAGAACCAACCTGGTTTCTCATACATTGAAAATGGATCCTACAAGGACCCAACAGGATTACTCACATGCTCAAAGTTACACACGCATTTAAGTGCGTTGCTGAATCGGGCTGAGAGGGACCAAAGGAGCTGCCTCTGCTAGCTACCAGCCCTACAGAAATGTAGGGTGTTTGCAAAGAAACATCAGATAAGAATTAACAGCAACCAGGAACTTCCACCATTTTTGTGCAATTTACCCCAGAAAATTCCATTCCAGACTACCAAACTATTTGCTTACCCAATAAAGCCCTGTAGTCAAGAAAATCCTTTGGTTAGGGTTCAGACCCTTCTGATCCATTTTTATGTGTCTAAGCAAACCTTATCCGCAGTGGGCTACCTCCCAGCATGCCAAACATCTAGAGACAGAGCAGCTTAGTCACTGTTACCTTGATGCTCAACAACCTGGTACCAGTCCTTGGGAAACTCCAGTGATGAGCAGACACAGTGCAGAACTCCAATCTGCCTTTCAAAGCCTTCGCCACTTTGCAAGCCGTCAGAATTCTTGTCATCTTGAAGCTTGCTGATGAGGAAATAAGGCTTAGAGATCACAAGACAAAACAAAAAGCCACTTGTTTGCCTCTCTCCAGAATTTGACACACACAGTTCGCCCTTGCAGACTACAGGAAAGAGAGCTCAGAGGCAGCCAGGACACCCAACCAGTTGCACAGCAATGCCCCACACCTCCCCATTCATGCAGCCATTAAAAGTCCTGGCTGCAGCCCCACCTCCTCCTGCCCCTCTGAGGAGGGCTTGCTGAGACTCCCTTGCAACATTTTTCTTCAAGTTGCCTTCTAAGTACTGTCATAGGTGTTGCACCACAGGCCAAATATTAGCTCTGCCTGCTGGAGGACAGCAAAACCTGCTAAAGAAGTTGCACCCACAGCCTTGATGAGAGTCTTCATGCATGGAAACAAGCATCTGGGTTATTATGTCCCTAGGAGAGGGGGAAAAGCACCACTTGTTATCCTAGCAGCACATGGTCCATGCAAATTAAGATTTTCTGTTCATCGTGGGCTTTCTAGTGTTCTCCAGTGCACAACTGGAAGTCCACCAGCAGCAAGATGGACATCTGACTGCTACAAACATACTGGTAATGAAAGGAGGAAAACAGGAGGACTAAATTCTGTGGAAAGCTGTGATCTTTTTATTCTGTTTTTTTGAAGAGTATATAGCCACCAGAAACCCCATCTAGGGACCCAAAGTGCTGCCTCTCTATAAATAAAAGGACATTGCCCAAAAAAAAAAAAAAGAAAAAAAAAGAGAGAAATCAGCTTTTTGGCAAAATTTCAATGGACAGCAGCTGAAACGAGACGAAACGTTCCATATGCTGTCGCCTAACTGATTACAGACCTTGATAACTATCACGTATCTCCTACAACCCCACACTATCGTCTTCAAAAAAAATTATGTTCCTCATTAGCCAGAGGTGAAAATGTCTAATGAACACACAAGCTGTGAAGGAAGAATGCACATTATTCTCCTTCATGAATTAAAGCAGTGTGGCATCTTTCAAAACCCAGGTGATCAAAGCTGCAATTAGCACAAAGAGAAAAAATAGATATTCAGACTTTTTTGAGCAGCTCACACACACTTCTTTAAAAGATTTACCTGACCTTTCCTAACCATGGACAGTAACAATTAGCACTCCTTTGTATACAGAGGTTCAAGATCAGTCAGAAATCAATGCGAGGAGCACATGAAAGTGTTTCCTGCACAGCTTGTGGCAGCAGTAGGTTGAACAGCAGAGCACCAACAAAAGGCAGAGAGAGGACCTTTGGTATGATGGATAGCATGTTGGAGCACAGATGAGAAACACAGGAGAAAAGGCAAGATCCACATGATGGAAAGAGACAGGATGGAAGAGAAACCAAGTGCAGAGGAGTTCACAGCTTAAAGATAAGCTTTACAGCTGCGCTAAGCTGGGAGAAGGAAGTTAACAGGGCTCCCTGCTGCTCACTGATGAACATGTGCTCTAGCAAAGACTCCACCATTTTTCTACAAACACACATGAACTCTCATGTGCAGTACAGGAGAGCTTCCTTCCATCTGAAGGACAAGAGATTGAAATCAATTTGTGGACAGATTCCCACTACTGAAAAGCCCAAATAACTGCCTGCACCTTAGAGCTCAATGGGCATAAACCTCCCCCAAAATGAGGACTGGGTTCAGTGCCCAAGCAGCCCATGTGAATTGTTTGGACTCTCCTTTTAGATCAGAGAGGAAATTTTTCCAAGCGTCCTTCAGCTGCTTCTGGAAGCCAGCTCCGGCCATCTGTCAGATTGTGTCTGGTTTCTGACCACCCTGCCTTTCCCCAACTAAAACACATTCCAAAAACGTCCTGAGCAGAAAAGCAGAGCAATTGAAGGGGCCAAAAAACTGAAATTCCTGTAGCCACTGGAAATAAGACAAACACCCTTCTCCTTCCCTACAACTACCAGGGAATATGCCAAAGTGACTTGGAAACCCTTCAGTTTCAAGGGAAGCTTCCATTTCTCCAAGAAACGGAGAGGGGAGCTCAGAAAGCACCTCACTAATGCTAAGATTTGCCACACGTTTTCTAATCAGGCCTTGGTCTATCAGACATGAGCACTACAGTGATACAACAATAAGCTCGAGCTAGGGAAGTGAATTTCTGTTCACAGCACCTTGCTAACAACTCTATCAACCCCCTACGACCTTTAAGGCCTCAGCTTCAGTTTATTTCCTCACTACGAATTGCACAGAAATAGCCAGTTTTTTGCCCACATGCAAATGAACAGGCAGCACCAACACGTCCTCCATCACCTGATCCCCTTGGACTGCTCAGGAAGGGACAGCAGCCAGTTACACTTGCCGACCTGCTGCTCTGAGCCCCTCTCAGATAAAATGAAGCACTTGGAATAAAGCCAAGTAATCAGAATGCAAAGTGTCACAAGCCAAGAATTTCACAGCTAAGGGTGAGCTTCGCCTAAGTATGTATGGGTAGAGATTGAAAAGAGTAAGAATCACGTACAAGCCTTATGCCTTAGATCTCTTGACTTCAGTTATTTGAGCCACAGCCTGAATGTTTTTTATGTTTCTCTATGGTCTGTTCTAAGAGAAGGTTTAGGAAGAAAGAAGTTATTTTAAATTTTAATAGGAGGAGTTCATAGTAGATCAAAAGGCAATCTTCAGATCCGGGTACTCACTGATTCACCCTGAGCGACCCACATGACTCTGCATCCTGACATTTTCCCCTTTTCTTCAAGTCCAGCCACATGGCAGCAGTTGTTACCACAGAACTTCAGTCTTTCTAGACAAAAGAGGTGTGTAGCTGTGATAGAGCATTTTAGGACATAACCTAAGGGATTCAGCACTAGAAGGTGAGTAAAAAGCTGCATTTCAAGTTAGGATACATTCAAGTCTTGCGGAGTTTCTGCAGATGGGATCTGGCGTTACCAGAATCTGACAACTCCATATATTCCTCCAGAGTTCCTGAGCACCCAGCAACACTGGCTGTCTCTGCTGCAGCGGCACAGATCGACTCACAGAGCTCACAGCTGGAGATCAGAGCCTGCTGGAAGCCTCGGATATCCCACACACATGGAACTCACCAGCACAGCTGCTCCAAAGGCAGGGCAGCCACTGCCCTGCGGCCAGCAGCTCATCCCACCCAAACCACACTGCACATCCATGCTGGTATGATGGGAAAGCTCAGGAAATCCAGCAGGAAAATATATACAGGTTAGTACGCTGTGGGCTGGCAGGATGGCTAATCTGTTCCACCACACCTGGGGTGCGACAGCTCCTGCCAAGGGCTGCTTTGATGCAGGTAAAACTCCACACAGATGGGGAGCAATCAAACTTTGGCCATAGGAATGTCCCTTCCATTTCCACCTGTCAAAAATCCTGCAGGCTCTCTTATTGTTTCTGAGTGCCTTCATGTGGCATAAACACTGGCAATCATTTTGTCTAGCTTACCAGCAAGCCTTCTTAAAAATCCACCTGCTTTATCCCTTAGAGATGGAGAGACTGTTATCCAAAAGCACATCCAACTGCTTTTATTACTCTTATTTATTACTTTTTTTTAATTATTGACTTGAATACATTAGAATTAAGCAGAATACATCAGAATTAAGTAAGAATACATTAGAATTAACTAAGAAAACATCAGGCTGAATTTTTATCCATCTATTCCAGTTTTGAGGGAATATCTCAGGTAGCCTAGAGCTCACCTTAAACATATTCTATCCTGAGCTCAAAGGCAAAATATTTTTAAGCTAAGAAAAAAAGAAACAGAGTAATTAAATACACATTAGGACTTTTTCCATTTCTTTTTAAAGACAAAAACAGGTCCTAGTGAGATAAGCATGAACAAAGAGGCATCTTTAAATGCAGTTTTACCCACCAGACCAGAGTAGTGCCAAGGCAGTGCACTCCACACTTATCCGCAGCTCTGCTCCACCCCATCCTCACTTTTCCTTGTGGAGAAGCTTCAGGAAGTCCTGGCTTTCGGGTCCATAGTGCCACAGAGAAGGACCCTCCTGCTGAAGAAAAACAGCTGTTGAATAACATGTTCAAGGAAAAACTGTTGGGAAGCACAGCGGGAAAAACTAACTCACAGTCATCATAACCATGACAGGATCATGTCACACTAGCTGCACAGTCAGATACTTAGCTTTTGTTTGCCTGCCTCTATCTTCACACCAATTTATTTTGCATCTTCTCTATCTCCTAGAGAAAGGCTCAAATAAATAGGGAGAGAAAATAAGAACACTTTAAGCTGATTCAAAAGACAAAACTGTAAAGACCTGTAATTGGCTTGCAGATTTTAACCTGAAACACAGCAGAATTAAATTGCCCCCCTTACATCTTTTCTCCTTGTTTCTTCTTCCCCCCCCCCCCAAGATTGTTTTTTTCCCAGCAGGACAGACCCTGGCTGCCTAACTCTATTGACTTGTACCTTATACCATGAACAGCTGGAATCCTCCTGAAGTTTAACTTCCCTGCAGAATGGAACAGCCTCTCCAAAAAACAAGGTAATATCTGCTTTTAAAAGCACAGCCACCTCATTCCTGAGTCCCAACCCTGCAGTCCTCAGGGGATTCATGTGGGTGAAGAAGAATTTGCCGATCTAAATCCTGAGAGCCCAGCATAAATTGCAAATATTACTTGAATAAGACACACAAGGCTCATTTTGGGAAAGCTTCTGGATACAGTACAGAAGCTGGTGGGTCTTTGGCTAACAAGCACCCAATTCAAAACAAAAACAGGGATGTATAACAGCAGCTAACTTAAACATCTTCCTATCTCTAGCTGAATTTCACTATGTTTGAGACACAAAAGAATATTTTTATATTGAGATGTTTAAACAGTTTCTCAAAAAATCAATTTCTTAGAAAAACACAAGTAGTTATTTCAACTTTCGCAGAAATATATATATTTTAGTGAAGGAACAGATCTCTCTCAAGCTGAAATTTTCATTTTTGTTTTCAGAATACAAACCAAGAAAACTTTCAGTTAAAAACTAAATGAAAACTTCTATTTTGATTTTTGTAACCAAAATGTCAAAAAGTATCAAAACCTAATTATAATGCAGTTTCTTTTTTTTATTATTATTTTTCTTCAAGAATACTAGCTCAGTCTGACAGCTAAAAGCAATTTAGCTCTGCAAGGTAAATAGGGAGCTGTGAAAACAGACCCTGGTGTTCAATGTCTCTTTTCTTGAGGAGAAGGCACACATCCAAATGAGCATCCATGGGCAGCAGCAAACACCAAAGGGTCGTCAAGACACAAGTGTTAATGATCATCAGGTCCTGATCAGCAGTTTAATTTCCCATATCACTTTTTAAAATATATTGAAGACTTTTTATTTTGTAAAAGGAAAATAGTATTGCAACCAAATAATTGAATATCCCACAGCAACATCACATGGACCTTTAAAAAGAGGGCAAATTACTTCAAATTGCCCATCTCAGTAGCCCCCTTCCTCTCCAGATCTCTCCTATCACAGTAATCAAGACAGACTTTTGACCAGTGTGATTCATATGATGCTTGGCAACAAGGCTGTTATATCCATTCCTAGGTTAGAGAAAACCCATTTTCGAGGAGATTAAACTTTTCTTTCAGACTTGAGTAGCCCAGGCCATGCTCAGCTGCTATCTGGGATACTGAGCCCATGTTTCACCCAAGCTGGACAAAGATAAGGTTCTTTCCTTATCTTCAGCAAGAGAAGAAGAATCAAAGTCTTGGAAATGGGTCAAATTCCATTGCCACTGGGATTAGTAGCTCCACTTAGATCAGCTGATTTCGAAGTAATAGAAAAAAAACCCTTATAGTTTCTGAAGGAGACCGACATCATTCCAAAAGGCCAATTGCAAAAAAAAAAACCTTACTTAGCTAAAACTGAGAGCAGCCAAGAGTAGTAGCCCACATAGTAATAACTACTCTGCAAAGGGCAGTTTACTCCCAAAGCCACTGCTGAGCCCTGCATGTCAAACACTCCTCTTATTTTCATGCAGACACAACTAACAGACTGGCCCTAGGCGCCCTGTAGCTACCCAGATAAGAGTCCACAGTGTCTGTCTCTAGTCCAGTACTCAACTTGATTTACTGGAAGATGTTTGGAAGGCAGCAAGGTTTTTATTCCCTGACATTTCATAAAATGACTTGTGTTTTGTTTTTTTACAAAGCAGGACCAGGATTAGGAATCAGTCCTTCTCCCTTGTGATTCCAGAGGCTCAAACACTCCACTGGTTTGCTCCCAGGGATCACTAAAAAGGCCAGGCCAGCTTTATGAAAGAAAAACACATCAAAAAGACTGCACAAACACCCTCTTGCCCACGCTACACATTCTTTACACAGTTTAAAAATAACATGACCTTACAAGGCAAGATTAGTTGCATTTGCTCAAGATTCAATGTTAGGCTTATATGCTGTGAAAATGAGAGACAGAATTTCTCCCCAGCCTAATATCTTATCCATGAGCACCAGACTGCACCGTACTGGCTCTTCCTGGTTTTGGTCGAAGCAGGAGTTAACATTTCAGAAGAGTTACTTAACATGGCCTTGGCCACCTACCACATATGCAGCATCCCTGACCAAACAGCATTTTACTTATTGCTTCATGCTTGGTACTCCATAATGGAAGGACTTGCAAAATGTTTGCTTTTTTCTTCTCTTCCTGTGATTACTCTGAAAAGAAAAAAAAAAAAACCAAAAGGATAAAAAGCTTCAGCCACTGTGCACTGTTTGGGCAGGAAAGCATCACATAGATATGCAGACACGAGTGAGGGGACAGCTCTTCACACAGGACAACACAGTTCTGCTATATAACTTAATAACCCTATTTAGCTGGGGAAGGGAGAACAGGGTTGACTTTTCTGTTTTTTTTTTTTGTTTTTTTTTTTTTTTTTTTTTTTTTTTTTGTTTTTTTAAACAGACTAGAAAATGGTGCTTAGGACAGGAGATGGAAGAGGTCTGAAAAATGTAATTAATACTCTCAAGTAAACATTCAAAACTTCAACCAAAGACCTCCAACACCATCTATTCAGCAGGCATTTTTATAACATAAATGAGGAAATGCTACAAGTGGGTGAGTTAACTTTAAGACCGTGTAGCTCTCCACAGGCATGAGAGACACTCGATAAAGCTTCGTAACCAGCAACACCTGCTGCTGTACTTGCCCCTCACCAAACACACCTCTTGACTTTAGCTCCTTCCTTAGAGAAGCCACAGAAATAGGCTTCTCCCACAAAGATTAAAGAGGGCCTGTGTCTGTGAACAGGGGCTGTTTTCTCATGCAGCCACCATTTTCTCATTTCTCACCCCCACAAAATTGGTAAAATTGGTGCCTGACTATCAAACATACTTTTTCTTTAAGGAGCTATTGGTGCACATTTCAGTGAAGTGGTCTTAACACAGACTTTCATGCTAGGATAGTTAGCTATTTGTACAGGTGTGACGAGAATATTATCAGGTATTAGTAAAATGAATAGTCCAAATACACAGGTGTGTAGTATCAAGGTAGCCTATTAGTTTATCTGTATATATTTATCTGTATATATTTAAGTCATCCAAATACACCACAGTGCTTTGTATTTATCCATTGCCATAGGTGTAGTGAAATCAGCTTGACTCATTTGCTGCCACTTCATTCCAATACCTTTGTTATGACCAAAGGAACCAAAGTCTTACAACACAGTAAGATTGAGCTAATATGCCAAAACCCACCACAGCTGAGGACACTGCAATGTTTTCATTTCATTCCTCTGCTAAAAGCGACCCCAGAACAGCACGTACTTCAGAAACCACAGCAAAGATCAGGAGCTGGCTTATGTAGCCACGTGAGCAGGAATGGCCTCAGTCTGCAGTTCCTGATTCAAAGAGGAAATAAAGCCTCAAAAGTCAGAATCTCTCAGAATTGGGCATACTTGAAAAGCAGGTATCCACACAGTGAGGTATCAAAGATCACTGGCATTTACTGTCCGTGATAAGCTGACATTTTCTCAGTGAAATTCTCACTTAAACCTAGCCCACAGTTGTTCAGTTATGGAATAAAAATACTTGGAAGCGCTGCTTTTTCTAAACAACTCCGTATTGCTGCATACCCCCCCCGTAACACAAGCTTCTTGCAAATATAACCTTGGGGTATTCTCCAGCTTGGGCAGCTGCCCAGAAATTAGATGCATCCTTTATTGCACAGGAGTCTTAGACTACAGAACAGCACCACCACGGTTGACATATCAAAGCTGACACAAGACAAAAGGTGACTATCTGGAGCGGTAGCATCTGAAGTGTCTTAGAGTGACTGCAGGGGGAAAAAAAACAAATTCTCTAAACAGGGACATAGGTGCAAGCTTATCAAGAGACTGCTTTGTAAGGAAGTGCTGCTGGCAGCTCCAAGCAGCACAGAAGCAACACACGGAGCTGGGATACAGCTCGCTCCTGCCTGGGCTTTGTACTGCCTGCTTCGAAAAAGGAAGAAATCCCAGCAACAGAAAGCACTGCTTGAATTAAGCACACTATTTAGGAATGATGGGGTGCAAAGAGTATATCAGCTGGTGGGCAGGATGCACGGAAGCGTTGTTAGGGGATCTCAGCTGCAAAGCTGCAAGAATGCTTTACACAAATGTTCCTTCTTTCCTGTTCCAGGCAGCAAGTCAGCCAGTCATGCACTCCAAAAAATCACATTTAACCTTTCCAGACAACCTAATTCTCTCCCTCCTCCCCTAGCAATCCCCTTGCAGCTGCGGCACCCGCAGGAGTGTGCTCTGAAGAATTTGGAAGCACAGTTTGGGCAGCATGGGCCTGATTTCCAGCAGCAACAGCAGGAAAATCTGGTCCTGAGCCAGAGCTAGCGTGACTTTGGAAAAGACTCAAGCTACTTCTACTCTGCTGAGTCCAAGAGGCTCAAAACCCTCATCCATCTGAATTCCTGGGGTTGCCCCAGCTCTCCTGCTCCCTGAGCTTTAACACCGTGCCTCATCCTGGCAACGTACAGGCTTTTCTCCCCAACATATTCACCTGTGCAATCCAGCAGCTCCAACAGCAGTGCCGGTACACTCCAAATGCTTCCCTTTCCCTTTTTGCTACCACCATCCTGCTATGAGCTTCCTGCAACAGATATTTTAATTTAGCACATACAAGATTCATGAACTGGTTGGGAGAAGGGACTGATGCTTCAGCAGCAAAAATCCATGGTGGGGGGAAGAGTCAAAATATTTTGGAAGCAGCCTGAAAGTGGTGTTAAGGACCAACCCATGATCTCCTATGAGGCAAATCCCAGCCTGTAGCTCAGCTCAGACTGCCCTCTGCAGCCAATTCTGCCTTTGCCAGGAAAATGGGTTCCAGGACACACTTCACAAAATAAATCTCTGCTTCAACCTATGTTCCTTCCTTTGTGCTAGCATCCATTCTGAAAACAAAGGGTCCTTTAACAGCATTTCCTTCCATCCTGCCAGCGAGCCAATTTATACAATTTCCACTTTGCAAAGGGTTATGAGGGAAACAGATGAATTTCACACTGTGTCTGCTTGCACTCCCTCTCCTCCCCCAAAACCACAGAGCAACAGTTTATACCTCTCCAAAGAGCAAAATAAACTACGAGCAATTCTTTAGTCTTTGAAATAGTTTTCCACCTCTCCACATTGGAAATACTACGTTTTCACACCTTTTTCCATCCTCTACACGGGTTAAAGAAAACCTGGGACATTTCCATTGTATCACTCCAACTCCAAGGGATAAACAGGCACTAAAGCCACATCTGCATCATCTGGAGTAGATCCACGTAGTTCCTTGCAACCAAACTCGTGGTTGCTTCGCCCAGGTTCAAAATCCACGTAGCACAAGATAAACAGAAGTTGCTGACCTTCATGTCTTGAGCCCAGCGCTGCTAACAGACACAGCACGAAAGAGTTTCTCTTTTGGGACCTGCCTTTTCTCCAGCATCCTGGGTGGGCCTCCCTACAAAGGACCATGTCAATTTATCTTACACCATTCAGAGCGGAGGCAACAAACAACTTCGACAAGTATAGGATCATTTGTAGAGTGGCACCCATCTTAAGTGCTAAACATCTGCACACTGCTGCTCCTTAAATTCAAGGGCCTTCCATGAATTTACTTCCTTAGGTACAAGGTTACTCCTTGCACTGTACAACATTGGGGAAGCCCTTGGAGAAGTATGCAGGCAGGAAACATGAGCTCATTTCAGAGAAGAATGCTAGAAAAGCAGTATCTGCAGACACACACTGCCCTTTAAATATAACTTGAACACCTGTGAGCCTATTTCTCTCCCTTTCATCTGCATTGCAAGAGAAGTCACAAGAAAGTAAACCTAGATGAAATGTTGGAGTTGCAAGGTGAGAAGCCATAAGGCTCAAAATGGAGCAAGAATACAGCCCCTATGGCTCTGAGCAGCAGCAGTAGCATGTGACAAAACGTTTTCAGCCCTCAATGTCTCTGCTTTAAAAAGAAACCTGAAAACAAAAATCACAGCAAAATACATATATTAAAAAAGACAAGGTAAACAAGAAACCCTTGGTCTGTCTCCAGAAGACCTTTACAGTGGTCACAAAAATCCCCGGGTGGTTTTCCTCTTGTGCACAGGGCAATGTGCTACCTTGCCTACAGAAAAGTTTCCAGGAATGCTGATTCTGAGGGAAATTTGGGGGCTGAAATTGAGCCAGAGACATTACCAAAGCCAAACCTCCAGCAGTGGGAGACCAACAATATATACTACGTGCCCTGACTTGCTTGCACCAGAATGGAAATCCCTCCTTACTCTTCAGGCACAATCCTTTTGGCTCTTAAGTCCAAAACAGCTGGCTACAGATAGCCACAAAATGGACAAATCTCCACTTGGTTTTCATGTAGTTGAGAAGCACTGAAGAAGTCCTCATCCCCAACCCTCCAGTGCCAGCTACATCCTCCTCAGATGACGAGGAGGAGGAGAGTCACCTCAGCAACAACCCCATCACAGGCAGAGGACAGGAGACAAGCTGGATGGCTTCATTCCTGTCAGGACACCATCCAGGGAAAGACGGTCCAAGAGAAAATCCAGAACAAGGGATCCTCCAAGAAATGTACAGTGTCCAGTGCTCTAGGAAACAGGAGTTATAGAAAAACTACCACCATGGCAAGCCTGAAACCTCACATCACACATTTACCTACCAAGTCTAGACAAACCTTTTACCGTGGTGGTGGATGTGGAGGAGCACTGAGATGCTAGCAAAAGCACCAAAGCACTACAGACTCTGCAGTGCTGCCTGCATGTCCCAGGCCCATGGATAGACATTCCAGCTTGGAATTTAAGAACAGATATCCAGCAGCTTCAGAAAACATTTGCACACCCTGAAGCAACAGAAGATGCCTTTGTAAGGAATAAGGTACTCTTATTAGGCACCAAATGAAACAGCCGAGTCCTTTCGGTGCCACACAGAGTGCTCAGATCTCCTTCAACCCCAGCTTTACTGCTCTGTCATCCCCAACTGTTCACAGAGCTAAGCAAACAGGCCAACAGTCACACTTGTGCACTGCTCATCCTGCAGACGTGCAAAGGTGAATGCAGGGGCAGACAGATGTCAAACACCAAGTTAGGCTGAGCAACTAGCCATTCCCATCTTACACTTTCATTGGTGACCCCGTCCAGTCTTGGCATTAAACTTTAAAGATGACATTAAAGATGCAAGTGCTATAAGCAGAACTGCTTAAGCAATTACAGAATAGCAAAAGAAGTTTGACTTCATGTCAGTTCTGTTCAGGGATGGAAGCGTATTAAAAGTGTCAGAAAACCCCATTGTCTTCCAGATGTACTTTCCACTGACCTCACCATCAAGAAACAAGCCCTTGATCCTGCCCTCAGCAGCTTTCAATTTTGTGTTCTTTGCTCCTGCCTCATATAACCCTAATTGATGTCCTCTTCTGTGAACCCTGCCATCCAAACTCCCCTTCTTCTGCTTGGAAAAGATGGACTCCCATATCCGATGGGGGTTACACTGGGAGCTCATACCTTCTGGGACAACAGAACAACATGCCAGGGAACTGCAGCATGCACTTCTCCTAAGAGCTCAAGCAACAGAAGCTGGAGGCAGATGTCGCTCATGGGAACACAGCCACTGGGCAGCTCCCAGCTGCCTTCCCTGGGTCAGGGCAGCACAAACCCTGCCTGGTTTCCTGCTTATGCCACAGGGGCATCTAGTGGCTGAGCCCCTAAAGAGCAAGTAAAGCCACCGCAAGGCTTGGGTCTACCCTGCAATTAAGGAGCATAGTAGTAGTTTAGCAGTTGAAGAGATGCCATTGCTGCCAGCATGGAGACAGTTCACTGCAAAATTGTTGGGCACACTGCTATCTTTTACTCCACTGGCCCAATGGACCTTTCTTCCATTCACTGATCTGACGGATTTTTGAATCCATTAAGACTTCTGGTAACCCCAGTGTCCAGAGATGTCACAGCTTAACCACACTGATAATCTCCTTCAGCTTCAAAAGTCTGATGCCTGCTGGCTTTGATACTGGAAGAGCCAGCGTGCCCCTGGCTTCCCCGTTGACATCTGTGATCCTGTCTGAGACAGAACAGACGTCTAACAGAGCCCTTTTTAGCCATCTCCTCTCCACGCTGAAGAGCCTTGCCTGGCGAGTCAATACTGTTACAGAAACTCCTCCACACAGTTCATCACCCTTTTTTGTTCTTTTTTGTTTGCACCTCTTCTAGATTGCTACGCTCCAAGACGAAGAAATCCGAACAAAATACAGTCCTTAAGATACAAGGGAGACACAGACACATTTAACAGCATTCCTAGTAACAACCACCTTTCTTTTAGCTGCTACTAAGCACTGAGCTGACGTTTTCACAAAACCACCTACTGTATCTCAGAAATCTCTTTCCTGAACAGGAATACATAGCTCAAGGCCCATTAACAGTGTCTAGAGCCAGCACTGTTTTTCCTGGAAGATGTTGTTTAACATTTAGCTACAGCAGCCATCAGCAGGATACAGGTGTACCCCAGATACACTGTCAATGCAGTCGGCTTGCTTAGTTCAGCTTACGTGGCCAATACTCGGACATCGATCCCTTTGCAGAAGCTGCTAAAAAGGCAGTGCAATTTGAAATCATGCTCACTGTCAATTGCAATAAAAAAAAATCCATTAAGATATGCTTTCTCCCCCCTTCTGGATGTCCTTTAAAATGAAAAAATATATATTAACATAATGCTGAAGATACAACATCTGGTTTACTTTCAAAAAACAATTCTGTTTAGCTTCAGACTAGCACTCTGTCTTCAGCCTTTTAATGTAAGTTTGAGCTGTTACTAACATCAAACACTCTGAGCCATGAAGGAACAACATATGAAGGAACAACAATGTTTCTAGAACTGTATTATACATAGCACTACATACAATACTATAAAATGGTATACTATGCTACATAACACTATACGCTACTGAAATAAGGTCTGATATTTGTAACTTATTTTAAAGGGAGAAAATGACATTTTGGGCCTTGATCACTGGTTTATGTTTAGGACAATTTAGATATCAAGCCTAAACATGCAGCAGCTTTAGCCATGATGCTGCTGCATAAATAATGTGTAGGAGAGGCGAATGGCTACAGCTGGGAAGCTGCAGGCTTCAGGCTAAAGCTCAAACACAAAGGAACAAACATGAAAAAGGAACAAAACAAAGGAGATATATAAGAGAACTTAGCCACATATGGCACACAGAGGTTAAGGCAGGAAAAGCATTAGAAAGGAACATTTCTTCAGATACCCAAACAACCCTAGGGCTCACAGGCATCCAACCACCTAGTAGGAACCATCACCCATCAGATCCACAACACCTGAAGCTGCTAAAACCCAATGAACATTTGTCCTTTAGTTGATGCTCTTGAACAGGAATGAATTGGGGGGATTTTTTGTTATTTTTCGCCCTTTTCGCCTCCGTGGTTGAAAAAATACTAGGATGTCTCTCTTATCTCTGATCATCACATGCTACTGAGCTTCTTGAGCCACTTCAGAAAGTCTTTTCCAGGGCTAACTCTGCCATGGGACAGCCAGGATGGCCAAATGGAGCCTGCCTTCTCAGCCCACGTATTATTCTGACATCTGTTTCAATACCAAATAAGTTTCTAGATATTTCTTGAACAGATATGCCTTGACTACTCTTTTTTTTCCCCTCAAATGCAAACCAACTCTTTTTAAACAAAACAGAAGAACTAAAGTTGAGATTTTTATCAAGAACATAGGAGTGTTTTCATGTATTTCCATATTTTGCTGTCCATTCTGCATGGGTAGATCATTAGGCAACACTCACCGGTCACGTACCTGGGCTTTAGGTGGCAGCCACAGCAAGACGCTCCTGACTTACCCAAGCAGCGACAACCCAACCAAAACACAATCCTTTGCTGGGAGGCAGAACAATGGACAGGACAGGAGAAGCATCTTTAGCTTGAGGTGACTTGAGAAGGGTGGAAGGGAGAATATGGGGAAATTAAGGGAAAAAAAAAACATCTTGTGTGTTATGCAGAGTACTAATGTGAAACTACGCCCAAGGTGAGGAGGGCAGACTTCTGGCCTGCACGCAGAGAACAGGCCTGTGAACTTGGACACGAAAGGTTTTTTTCCTTCTCTTTTTCTCCTTTTCATGGAGCCAAGGTTCGTACTTGCCCACAAGAGCCGCACAGCGTGCCCTCCTGCCCTGCGGAGCACTGCAACGCTGCGCCAGGCGCCTCAAAGCCACCACAGCCCTGGGGCTGCCTCTCCTCAGCTCGACTCCCACTGCCTCCTGCCACCAACCCCTCCCTCAGAGCTCGGATTTTACAAACTGCACAAAAAAACGGACACACACAGGAGAAAAACTCCCCAACAGGGGTCAACTGCAACCACGCGTGAACGGAGGGTCCCAAAGCGGAGGTTCCGCCTGGCACCACAAGGCAACGTGTCCATTCCCGCCCAAACGGCGGCGGGCAGCCGCGTAAACCGCTTTGGGCCGGTTTAAGGCGGCCAGGGGAAGGGCGGGGCCACAGGGGGGCGGAGTCGCTGGAGGGC